GATCCGATATATCAGTTGCCCCTCTATAAACATGTACATCCTGGAGCCTACCCATCAACCTTTTATCCACCAATACATAATCTAACAAACTACTTTCATTACGTGCTACATCATACCTTGTATATTTATTTATCCTCTTTTTCATAAAATATGTATTACTTATTACCAAATTTCTTTCTACACATAGCTCAATTAAAGGCTCCCCATTTACATTTACCCCTGGCACCCCAAATTTACCTACTACTCCCTCCATAACATTTTTACCCACTTTAGCATTGAAATCCCCAACCACCATGACTCTCACACATAAAAAAAAATTTGATCTCTACAAGCATAAAACATGTAACATCAAAATAACTAGAGCTAAGGGATTCACATGCTAAAAGAGAAATTAGAAAGAGTGGAGAAGAGCCAGAGTAGAAAAGAAAGAAAGTGCATTGTCAATATTGATAAAATGAAATGCTACATGCTACAGAAATAATACAAAACACAAGGTCAACATGTTTGTGGTAGAAGCAAAAATAAAGATGAGGAAATTATTGCCATTGCATATGACCCATCATTTTAATAATGCATGAAGGAGAATAAAATGAACAACACAAATGAAGGATTGCAAAATATATTAAAGATCTGTTAACAAAAATGAACTATGAAATACAGAGAACATTGTAATTGGGAATTTCAGTTAGAATACAGGTATAAAAAATAGAATGAATACTGTAGTTATGATTTTTTATTCATCAGCATTTTAAAGACATGAATCAATAGGGAGAAGGCAGAATTTCATCAGTACTAAACTTTTACTAGAAAAGAGGAAGAAATTCTCAATATTATCCAGATCTGCTTGAAAAACAGATCCTCTTTTTATTTAAATTGCATACAGTACTGTATGACTTAAGGGAGAAAAATCAAAGAATTTAAAAATAGGAAATATGATACAAGGATAGGTGTAAGGAAATATGAAGAATAAGTTTTTGTTGGGATATTTTGCTTAGGGTAAAGTTATATCAGAGTCATCATAACTTATTGTGCCTGTCAGCATTGTGTCTGTACTGCACATTCATCATCAAAGTATTTCAAAGAAATAAAATGTAATCATATACTATTAGAAGGAACAGATATATGTACATAATGCAAAATACTCTGCAACATATATGAAAAAAAAGGAATCAAATAGGGCCTTCCAGTAACTGAAAATTTCGAAAAAGCAAAAATCAGTTTAACTGTACTGGAAAGTCATGAAAAAAAGAAGGGCAGGCTTACAAACAGTACAGGAAGCATCTTAACCCATATACACTACATTCAAGCAAGCCAGAAGTGAGTTCTGGCATAACCCAATGTGTGTTGTTCCTATGCTTGATATCCTGTTGAACTCTTGAGGAGAGGGATAAAATTCTGTAACCCCCTTATGTACAAGAATAACCTTGAGGCCAGGTAGTGTGCCTGTTTTCTTTTGGCTTGATACACGACTTTCAAATTTGAAATCAATAGGTTTTAGTTCAAATTGTGTAAGTTTGTTAAGGTACAAATACGCATAAGTACAATTATCATAGATAGTAACATATGTGTAAATTACCTAGGACAACCCCAAAAAGGGGGGGTGTTAATGTTGCAGTTTTATAACCGTAGTGTAAGCGCACCTCTGGCAAGACCGTGCCTTGGTGGGAGATGGCCGATGTGTTAATAAAAAAAAATAAAAAAATAACCCCAAAAAGTCAAATAATTTGACTATTTCCATTGGGGTGTCTGTGTTTGCTGTATTTCATGCCTTGATCTCTCTCTTGTATTAAAACACTTTCTCTTTAATGCTGATATTAGGAATAGTGGATCAGTATTTGAAGAGAGGTAGCCAGTGTTGAAAATAAATAGCTAAACTAGCTAGAGAATTTTTTCTTTAAGTGTTCTCAATAAATTCCTTATTCGTTAAGCCATCTTCTAGTTCACACTTTTGATGACAGTTAATTTGAAAACAGTGCAGTCTACTTTACAGTATTTGCTGGGAATAACTGGAAATAGTAGCTACACACTGTAACAAGTGTTCACTGTATATGAAAAGAGAGAATCTGGAATGGTTTTGGTAAAAAAGTAAGAGGAAAACAGGTTTTCTATCAATTTATCTTGTATTTTGGCAACCATGCCAAGGAATAACATTTTGGTACAGGTAGCCAGCTGATAATAGATATGTACTACATGTTTTATCATGGGGTGGTGCACTGTTCCACCACCACCATCACACCTGTCCCCACCATTGCCACTACTATTACTACCACCATTACCCTATGAATACTGTGAATGTAACAATTTATCCGTCCAACTTGGTGTGGTTAGTAGTGCACTGAAATTCCATGAATCCCACCTCAGTGCTTCTTCACAGATTAGATAACCCCAAGCTGTTTTCAGAAGACTATTAATATCAAAGTTCTTATGACCCTCTGAACTGTAATATTCCCATCTATCCTTCAGTGTGCAGGCACCGTACTTCCCACTTTCAGAACTCAAGTTTGGATATCTGATTTCCATGAGGCCCTTAATAGGTATTTCATTTTTTGGCATTTCAGTAGAACATTAAATTCCAAAAACCATTTGTCTGCACTCATGATGGCTCAAATGTGTCTGCTATATACTCAGGCCCTTACCTCTCAAAAATACCACTGACTCCTAACCTTTCTTCGAAAGTTTTATACACCAATCTCCATACATTCCAAATTTATAGATCCTCTTGGTCAGTCTTGCCTATTCTGCCTTTTCTAAACAACAAAACCATCTCAGCAATTCCTCATCTGTTCCCTGATTTATTCTTTTCATACTATGACACGATCTTCTATTTTCTTATTATTCACTGCGTGATATTGATGTCGCACATTAGTCTGGAACATAATTTCTCTGCTACCTCCAGCCTGCAGCTCGTTTCAACATTCAAAGGCCATGTACATTTTATAAATGTGTGTGTGTGTGTGTATGTCTGGTTAGCTAGACTTGAGTCCAGGGGGTGGGCAGTACAGTGCCTGCACTCTGAAGGACGAGTGGGGATATTTGCAGTTCGGAGAAACATCTGAACTAGAGTGTCTGTATGCCTCTGGCAAGACAGTGAATGATGGTCAAAGTGCTTCTTCTTTTTCAGGTCACCCTACCTTGGTGGGAGATGGCCAGTGTGTTTAATAAACAAATAAATATATACATGTACATGTACATATATATATTTTTGTACATATACATACATTAAACTGGTCGTCTCCCACCAAGGTAGGGTGACTCAAAAAAGAAGGACCGCTTTCACCAATCACTCAATCACTGTCTTGCCAGAGGAGTGCTGATGCTACAATTCAGATGCTCCTCCAAATTGCAAATATCACCACCCCTCCTTCAGAATGCAGGCACTGTATTTCTCACCTCCAGGACTTAAGTCCAGCAAAGCAGTTTTCCCTGAATCCTTTCCTAAATGTTGCCTTGGTCACACTCAAACAGTCTGTCAAGTGATTAAAAGCATTTTCCTCAACTCCTATCTAACTCGTTTGCTTGCGTTTGCTGGATTCCAAGCCTCTCACATTTTAAACCTCCTTCACCTCCTCCCTCCAACATTTCCTAAAATGACCCTTACCCTGCCTTCTCTCCACTGCTGATTTATACACCCTCCAAGTCATCTTTATTTTGCCTTATCCTCTTTAAATGTCCAGACCACTTCAACAACCCCTCCTCAGCCCTCTGGATAATACTTTTAGTGTGTGTGTGCATATGTATGTATGTATGTATGTATATAATATATATATATATATATATATATATATATATATATATATATAATATATTATATATATATATATATATATATATATATATATATATATACATATGTATATATATATAGATAAAGAAAAATTGGATATCAAATTGGGGAGGAGGAGTATGGAAGAAGTGAATGTTTTCAGATACTTGGGAGTTGTCGTGTCGGCGGATGGATTTATGGAGGATGAGGTTAATCATAGAATTGATGAGGGAAAAAAGGTGAATGGTGCGTTGAGCCATATGTGGAGACAAAAAAAGGTTATCTATGGAGGCAAAGAAGGGAATGTATGAAAGTATAGTAGTACCAACACTTTTATATGAGTGTGAAGCTTGGGTTGTGAATGCAGCAGCGAGGAGGCGGTTGGAGGCAGTGGAGATGTCCTGTCTAAGGGCAGTGTGTGGTGTAAATATTATGCAGAAAATTTGGAGTGTGGAAATTAGGAAAAGGTGTGGAGTTAATAAAAGTATTAGTCAGAGGGCTGAAGAGGGGTTGTTGAGGTGGTTTGGTCATTTAGAGAGAATGGATCAAAGTAGAATGACATGGAGAGCATATAAATCTGTAGGGGAAGGAAGGCGGGGTAGGGGTCGTCCTCAAAAAGGTTGGAGGGAGGGGGTAAAGGAGGTTTTGTGAGCGAGGGGCTTGGGCTTCCAGCAAGCATGCGTGAACGTGTTTGATAGGAGTGAATGGAGACTAATGGTATTTGGGACCTGACAATCAGTTGGAGTGTGAGCAGGGTAATATTTAGTGAAGGGATTCAGGGAAACTGGTTATTTTTATATAGCCGGACTTGAGTCCTGGAAATGGGAAGTACAATGCCTGCATTCTAAAGGAGGGGTTTGGGATATTAGCAGCTTGGTGGGATATGTTTGTGTATCTTTATAGGTATATGCTTCTAAGCCGTTGTGTTCTGAGCACCTCTGCAAAAACAGTGATTATGTGTGAGTGAGGTGAAAGTGTTGAATGATGAGGAAAGTATTTTCTTTTTGGGGATTTTCTTTCTTTTTTGGGTCACCCTGCCTCGGTGGGAGACGGCCGACTTGTTAAAAAAAATATATATATATATGTATATGCATGTGCATACACACACATGCACATACACACACGCACACACAAACACATACATATCCTAAAGGTTTATAATAAAGTATATTTTCGAAGAAAATTACTTAATACATACAGCGACTAATGAAGTTTTAAATGACCCCTGCACTAACAGGTCAAGAGTCATGCTGCTGCCTGGCCGTTTCAAGTTCCTGTCGACCCAAATGAAGTGCCTGATTATTATGACCATATTAAATATCCAATGGGTGAGTATTTTCGTTGTGTTGTAAAGGAAATCTCATTATGCATAATATAAGAATAATAATGCTGAGATGGAAGGAGTTTTCAGAAAAGATTCTGGACTAGACCCTTCACACTTGTTCTCCCTGCTATTAACTCCACACTGCTTTGTGGTGCTTTATGACTCGTATAGGTTTGGCGTGCTTTTGTGAATATTATAATAACAGCAATAATAATAATAAATCAGTAAAGACTGGAGATTTTGGGGGGAAAAAATTATGTATATGGCATTCTAAAATATAAAAAAAAAAGTGCTGCTCTGTAAGGTGAATTATAAATCCTTACGGTAAATCCTGAAAAATTTGTGGTGTTTGATGAATTCAGTTGGGTGATCTAAAAGAATTGTGCATTAAGCAACAGTGATGCTAAAAGTAAATAGAAAATTGAATGAACATTTTGAAATATGTCGTACACAATGAGGGAAAATTATGTAAGGTGTATAGCCTTTGTTTATATACTGCATATGCATGTGTATATACAGGTAGATGTGAATTAAGCAGTAGAGTACATGAAAGGAATCATGTGTTGGCAAACACTTAAGATTGGGCACCCCAATTGAGATTGTGTACAGTAAGAGCTTGGCTGAAGCTCTAAGCCATCAACATTTCTGATCAGTCTTTTTACTTATGATAGAGAGATGCTGACAGAATTGTTGTGTAATTAAAAAGTCACCCTGCCTCGGTGGGAGACTGCCGAATTGTTGAAAAAAAAAAACTGAATATATTAAATGACAACGAGGAACATGTGACTTTCGAGATATGTGAATATTGAAGTGAAGTAAGAGTTATTTGAACATATACTGTGTACCCTACAAGTAGTAGAGTGGTGTAGTTCACTCTTACAGTCTTTCAAGGAATGTGCCTTGATGCTATTGAAGGGCTCATGATCCAGGGAATTAGAACCACCCTCTACTTGGATACCCCCTGAAGTCCTCCCATTCCCAGACTACTTGACTCCAATAGGTTTAAGGCTTCTCACTAAACAATAATAATAATTCACTTATAAGGAAGCACTAATTTTTTTTTGGGGGGGGCATCTTAGCCATATACGGAAGTCAGTGACACTCAAATTAGACTCCTTATGGCCAGCTGGCCCTTTCCGAGGACTCCTTGCACAGGTAGCCATGTTAATGGAGCTCAGCAGCACCCCATTGAATGTGCATCCTCCACCGAACCGCTGGTCCCTCCATAGCTTTAACCACATATAGCCCAAAGTTCGCCACACTTATGCCCAAGGTTTTTCTGAGGATAGCATAGGATTTAAGAAACATTACTTCTCTCCAGGTAGTAAGTAGAGGTTACATTCATCCCCCACTGATGGCACCTCTCTTGGCACCATTCACACTGCAGTGCCATCTTTTGATCAGCTCCACTTCCTCCACACCACACTGAGAAACTCTTCCCAGTTTTAAACTTATTTGCTAATTGTTATTTATTCTCAGTTCATTCCTTGTTTTTATAATATTTTTCATTCTTTCCACACATTCTTGTTAACCACTGGAAGCACACATGACCATTTCACATACAGTACATGATATCCACACCAGTGCAAGAATTTCTTTGGTGGATATTTTGTGTGTCCTTCCCAAAGAATCTCGTGGATTAATTAATTAAGGTCAGAGAATGGGTTGTGATTAGCAGATGGAAGATTGAATCTCTGCCATTCGTTGCTTTTCTGAATGATCCACATGGGTTTAATGTTTCTAATAATAATAATAATAATTTAGCTTTGAGGTATAAAATATTTAACATTTTGTGAAAACACTGATGTAGTAGATAAGATACTTTATTTTAGCATGATACAGTGTGTGTACAGAGGCAGATGATATTTAGGTGTGCATGCAGAGATCCCCTTAATATGCAGAGCATTTCCGGCAAACTTAAGATTATTAAGGCAATGACAAATTGAGTGTTTTTATATACAGTCTCTTAGGCAGTTGTAAATATATATTTAGGAGTTCTGTATACATAATATGGGAAGGGATATATAGTAAGGTATATGTAATGTGGGATGATGTCTGTACTGTACTGTATTTTTACCTTAATTGTATATTTCATAATTACCATACCAGGGTACCTATTAGGATCTCGGGGAAATTTTAGAGGGCATTTTAAAGATTTCTGGGGGGCTTGTTGCAAGTTATTTTAACTGTATAAATTATCCCTGAAGGGGGACTTTTTAAGTGGTGGTTGCCTGAATTTTTTTTTCCCCCAGCTTTTCAATATCCTTTTACTCATGACTCAGGAACCCCTCTTCCTATCAGATTAAAATTTTGAATGTTTGTATACAATAGTGAAGACCAGATTCTAGGAATAGTTGGCATGTGTAGGTGTGCTATGACCAAAGTTATTGATCCCATTGCTAGTATCCTGGAATAGCTTGAATAACCTCCAAAAACCTCAGTGGCATGGCTTAACACTGATAAAAAGAAAGATGCCTCCTAATTCAGCAACATTAGCAAGTGAAATCCAAGTGGGTAGGTGGGTAAGGAGATGGCCGACTTGTTGAAAAAAAAAAAAAAAAATAATTTGAATGTATGAAAGTATATTAGTACCAACACTCTTATATGGGTGTGAAGCTTGGGTTGAGAATTCAGCAGCGAGGAGGCGGTTGGAGGCAGTCGAGATGTCCTGTCTAAGGGCAATGTGTGGTGTAAATATTATGCAGAAAATTCGGAGTTCGGAAATTAGGAGAAGGTGTGGAGTTAATAAAAGTATTAGTCAGAGGGCTGAAGAGGGGTTGTTGAGGTGGTTTGGTCATTTAGAGAGAATGGATCAAAGTAGAATGACATGGAGAGCGTATAAATCTGTAGGGGAAGGAAGGCGGGGTAGGGGTCGTCCTCGAAAAGGTTGGAAGGAAGAGGTAAAGGAGGTTTTGTGGGCGAGGGGCTTGGACTTCCAGCAGGCGTGCGTGAGCATGTTCGATAGGAGTGAATGGAGACGAATGGTATTTGGGACCTGACGATCTGTTGGAGTGTGAGCAGGGTAATATTTAGTGAAGGGATTCAGGGAAACCGGTTATTTTTATATAGCTGGACTTGAGTCCTGGAAATGGGAAGTACAGTGCCTGCACTCTAAAGGAGGGGTTTAGGATATTAGCAGTTTGGAGGGATATGTTGTGTATCTTTATACGTATATGCTACTAAACTGTTGTGTTCTGAGCACCTCTGCAAAAACAGTGATTATGTGTGAGAGATGGATTTGCCAGCACACTTTGTTTGGTTAGCTGGACTTGAGTCCTGGAGGTGGACAGCACAGTGCCTGCACCATGAAGGAGGGGTGGGAATGTTTGCTGTGTGGATGGACATCTGAACTGTCGTATCTATGTGCCTGTGGCTAGACAGTGATAGTGTAAATGATGGTGAGAGTGTTTCCTTTTCGGGTCACCCTGCCTTGGTGGGAGACGACAAGTGTGTTAAAAAAAATAATCTGAAGTCCGTTAAATTGAAGATTTACTGTATTATGTACTAACTTGTCACCCAGCTCTTTCATGCTTGTTGACAAAGCCATTGTTCCACATTGGCGACCAGGAAACTGTCTTCTGTAAAACCACTTGTGTGTTCTGGTTATCCTCAACAGTGTTGAAGTTTAGTGAATAAGACACATGTACAGCACTTGGTATCTTTATTATGGAGGTGTTTCATCAATCAGTGGCTTTATCAATCCATAGCAAAGAATAATACTGGAGACTTCGGAACACATGTAATAGTAGTTAGAAGTGATCAGTCCCTCAGCATTGATAAGGGACTGATCAAAACTGATATGATGGTCACCTGAAACAACTACTACACGTCAATCATCATCTCCTGTATTCTCTGTATTGAACTGATAGTTACAGGTTGGTAAAACTTTCCCACAATAAAGATATGCAAGTGTTGCTCATGTGCCTTATTCATCTGTACTTGTTAGTTTAGTAAACAATTATTGGTAATATAAATGCTGAAGCTTGTGGAAAGCTATTCTTTCACACTTTCCACTGATCATCTTATGAATGGGGCTCTGCTTTGTTCTGCTCTGTGATGCTTTACAGGCTATCATAAATTATTATATTCATGGAAAGTGCTGAATCCATAGTGGTCATACAGCACCTCAGGAATGGGTAATAATTAGATGTGATCCAAGATAAGAAAGAATAGCTCCAATTTAATCTAGAGCTCCTCAGCAACAAGGCTCCTCCTAGAAGGGTTGCAGTTGATAATTATGATTGTCGTTATTATTTTTAAAGAGTTTTTAACATGCTAGCCATCTACCACCAAGATCACATGATCCAATAAAGAGGAAGCACATTCACTAGCATTCATTCAGTTATTATTATTACAGTAGTGTTATCTGCTACTGTTAATTTATTTAAACCTCTTTCATATTCCTTCTCTTGTAAACCTTAACAAACTTTTAAACTCTAATCTTTTCTCTTTAGTGTACACTATTTATTTTTATAATTTACTAGACTGAGACACTCCTATGATGGTCTCCCTCCATATATACACATACATATTATAAACTTATCCAGAACATACAACTTAGATGTATTTCTACATTGATTTCAAACCAGTCACTCAGTACATGAGTGGAACAGTTTACAAAAGCAGGTAGCAAATGCTAAAACCACAGGAAGTTATGAAAACCATTATGATAAATACTGAAAACAGACACCATGAATTACCTTTTCATGTAGCTACAAATAAGTAATAGCTTAATGTGTAGAAGGGCCAAAGTAAGATAAGAGTGAGTTGCCAGTTTTGCATTATATTAATCACTGTAGACTTCAGAAATTATGCACAAATAACCCACACTTAGGAGACTGAAACTCATGACAATGTTTTGGTCAGACTTGGACCGTTAAGAAGTCACACTGACTTGTTATTGGTCCAAGTCGGACCAAAACATCATCATAAATTTCGGTCTCCTCAATGTGGGTTATTTGTGTATTATTCCAGCCACAGTATTGTGACTATTCTTTACAGAAATTATGATATAAAAGTAAATGTCACAATTTTAATGGTAGAAATTTGTAGTAGAAAATAATTGTGAATGCATAGAGCTCACTGTTTCTCATCACTAGGGAGCGAAAATAATTAACACAATAGATAATAGACTACATAATATACTGTACTGTACTAAGGGAAGTATTACTGAAATGGTATATGGATACCATGTGATTTTTTTTGTAGGAAAATTGAAGGCAAGAAGTATTAATTGGTATATTGTTGAAAACGGTTGTATATTGTAGGCAATTACTATATTTGGAACTGGTTGTTTTCCTATGATTTATGTGGGTGGGAGACTGGGAGCTTTTTCCTTGTAATCTATATACAGTAATACTGGAAATATTTAAAAATGTTGACTATATAAAGATCTTTGTATTTTAGTTCCATATTTAAGTATTCATTGTAAAATTTTTATGGATTCAGATGTTCATGTATTAAGTCCCATCAGGAGTTTTATCACCTTCTTAGCCATTTTGGTGTTTGATAGTTTCACATAGTTTGCCTTCCTTTCTATCTCTGGTTCTGGCTTCTGTTTATTTAAAGATAAACTGGAATTTTCTGTTGATCTCATTGCATGCTGACTGTTTCCCAGTTATAATTTAACACTTGCTAGATTATTCACTGCATCATTGGATCACATTGGCATATATAAAAGGTGTTTTCCATGTACAGTGGACCCCCGGTTTATGATCAGCTCCCAACGCAACCAATTATGTAAATAACAAAAAAGGAATGAAATATCGTAAACCGGGGGTCCACTGTATATTCACAGTTGGGCTTCTGATGTTATATCTACATCATTAATCTTCACAAGACACCATTCTCTCGCAAAGCTTTCCCATGAACACTTGTGCAAAGTTTGCTGTATCTCACTCATTGTTCCCTATGCTTTGGTAAGCTACTGTGTCATCTTGTCAGCCTGTTTAGATGCCCTGCTATGCTTACTCTGCCCTCCTCTCTGAAAATGCCATCTTTAATGTGAGTAATATATAAGACATTTTAATACATTGCATTGTTACAGCATTCTTAATTGCTATATTGTTGTCTTATCTCAGTTTTTCTTTAATTGCCTTCTGTGCAATATATCTGCTATTCTTTTCCTCTAAGGTGTTTTGTGCTATGCAGTGCTGATTGATTGGCACAGATTTTGCACTTACTGTATAGTGAATTAGTGATGTATGTAGATGTCAAGTATACTTTTCTTGTAGCAAACAATAAACATTCTAGGTATGAATATTAAAGCCTTCAAGTTGTGTCATGATAATTATAATTGCATTAACTTGTAGGTTGCAAGCAACAGTAACCTAACAGAGAACAATAATCCACATGAAAATTGCCTTGGTAGAGGACACTGAAAACCCAACAGTCTAATGTTGGCTAAGTCTTTTCAGTGGTCAACATAAAATAACATGGCTTTCTTTTGTGAAAAACTTAAACTTTTCTGCTGCAGTCAAACCCCAGAATTCTTGTGCTTCATAATCCCTGTGATCTGATTATATAGTACTACATTTTAGCTGAAGTCCATTTCATGGATAACCTCAAATATTTGTTTTTTTCTTGGTGCTCATTTTCTTTTTGCTTGGCACATAACCCCTAAATTGAAAACTAACTATAGAATATCATTCCAAATACTGGTTAATCATTCTTTCCTATGAATGTCAGTATTGAGTAGACTAGAGCAATATTTAGAGAGATGATGGAGTGAATGAGTGAATGATGGTGAAAGTTTTTCTTTTTCGGGCCACCCTGCCTTGGTGGGAATCGGCCAGTGTGCTAATAATAAAAATAATAATAATGGCTAAAAAAGTTTTTTTTTTTTCAGATGTACATGTAGTACTGTGTAGTACTGTATTCTGAAAATTTTAAATAATTCAGACACAAAATTTTATATTACTGTATCTGCATTTTAGGATTCATGTCACCTCTGTAAACCCAAACTACGTGAATTATAGGGTTCAATTGTACAGTTAAAATAAGGGATGCCAGTGGATACTGAATGCAATACTGTATGGTAATATACAAACAGCCATACAGTATTGTATCTTGATACTGCAATGTAGGGAATTGATGAAGGAATATCGGGAAACTAGTTAGCCGGACTTAAGTTCTGAAGGTGGGAAGCGCAGTGACAGCACTCAGAAGGATGGTTGAAGTTGTTACAGTTTGTAATTCCATTTGAGTTGTGATGTCTGCACACTTTTGAGAAAACAGCTATTTAATGAATGTTGGCGAATATGCTTCCTTCTTTGGGTCACACTACCTGGCTCCCACTTGTTTTCATTGTAGGTAAAATGTTTAAACTAGAGTACAAATGCAATCAGTATTATACAGGTGTTACAGAATGCTAGCCACACTAGAGGTTCAAGAATTATATCAAGCAAATGAGAAATATTGCTGGGGCAAAGATAAAGAGTTGGAAGAGATCTTGCCGTGGTTTCAGCAGATTGTGCTCTATCAGCCAGGTTGTCATTAATCTATGTATTAAAGATGAAACAAAACTGTTAATCAATGCCAAGGCATTCTTATTTTCATTTTTTTTACACAAATCAATTGTACAGGCTAAAAGCTGTTATCCTACCTCAGCTTATATCAAATCCCAGCCCTGTCTAAGGTATACTAACCCCCAAGATGTGACCCACAACAGTCAACTAACACCCAAGTACCTACTTACTGCTAGGTGAACAGGGGCAGTAGGTGTAAGGAAACATGGCAATCCTTGCTGTTTCCTGAGTGTCAAGATATCTGGATATGAAATTCTTCGAACATTGGCAAATTTGTTTAAAATTGTCTAAGCATCACCGAATTCTCAAAAAACAAGTGTATTAACTTTGTCAAAACTTTTATAGTACTGCATGTGAAAAAATTTCTTTGGAAAAGGATTGGTCGGCCTTATTAACCATGGAAGCAAAGCCAGTTGAGAAATAGAGAATGTGGCCCTTCCATTATTATTATTATTTTTATTATTAACTTATTATTATCATCATCCCCTTTGTTCTCTTCAGTCTTTATTGCTGTTTTTCTTTTGTACCATTGAAATATGCTTGCTAGGTTGATCATATAATCCACTGCATTTACTGTTCTCAATGCAAGCCTGATCTTGACTCATAGCAATTTTGTGAAATTCTTTGCTAAAGTATTTAAATTTTGTATGATGTATTAATATGGGTAAAATGTCTATTTGACAGAGAGACATTCTCAACAGGAGCAATGCATAAAAGAAATATAGGTAGGACTTGAGTCCTGGAGGTGGGAAGTACAATGCATGCACTTTAAAGGAGGGGTTTGGGATATTTTCTGTTTGGAGTGATATCTGAGCACTTCTGCAAGGACAATGATTATGTGTGAATGATGGTGAAAGTTTTTTTTTTTTTTTTTTTGGGGGGGGGGGTCACCCTGCCTCGGTGGGAGACGGCCAGTGTGTTAAAAAAAAAAATTACTTCATGCAAAATCAGGGATATTCCTGGTGCATGTCTCAGTACTCCTCTCTTACTCTTTCCTAACTTAGTTTTTAAAAAATAAACTAATTTTTTCCAATGTCATCTTTTTTTTCAGACTTGAAGACCATGACTGAACGCTTGAAAGCTAACTATTACGTAAATGCCCGACTCTTCAACGCTGATATGTTACGAATCTTCAAAAACTGTCGCTTTTATAATCACCCTGAGACAGAATATTATAAATGTGCAAATAACCTTGAAAAATACTACATAAACAAAGTGAAAGAACTTGGACTCTTGGAAAACAAAGAGAAGACATAGATAAATGAGAGAATCCAGTGGTACTGCAGCATTTGTTCCTTTACCACTTGTGAAAATAATAACTAGATGGAGCATCTTTTACCTTCAAAAGGGAATAATAATCTTATCTTGCTTCTTTGAAGCCCCATAAGAATATAATGTGTTATTATATATGTAATGGATTACACAAAAATAAGTTTATTAATGTATATTTAAACTACAATAATAAATTATCTGTAATAGATTATACTAAATAAGTTAAATGTTTTTTGCCTGCACTTTTAATAATTTTAAATGAAGTGTAATCTTTAAATATGGTGATACAATCATGCCAGTATAGTAACTGTATCTAGTTATAGTGATGAATGGTTTATTCTTAGTTGACACAGCACTGCTGTATAGTGCCCATTACTAGGGTGGTTCACTGTGCAGCATTCTTAGACATTTGCTTAAAGCCTAAATAGAAAGATCTGATAATTCATGTTCATTTGGCATCTTAAATTTAAATATGGAGAGAGATTATTGTACCATGAGAACATTTCTCAATAAAAGTAATTTATATTGTGTAGAGTATTTATATTCCAACATGATATTGTCTTGAAGGTAATACTGTATTAATCAGTAATTTTAGAAGTATAATTGAAACTAGTGCATTGAAATTTTTTTTATAATAAAACTGAGTGTTAAGCCTGTAAGGATTTGAAATGTGTGATGCCTACCTCAACTGTCTTTGGCAGCAATCATGTGTGATTGACAGGTAACTTATTGTACAAAATAATTGCCCCACAAACCCTTCCAATGAAGGGCTCATGATCAAAGGAATTTGAGCTATCTTCCTCTTTCTTGGATTAAACCTGATTGCCTTTTATTCCCTAAGCATTGTATGACTCTTACAGGTTGAATGCTTCCCTGTGATTTTAACAATAATACGTAATAATGTACGTATTTATCCTACTGTCTACAATTAGGTTCATAATGGTGCTGTCAACAAGAAATGACTAGGCAGCCCAGGGAGCTATTCAGTACAGGCATACCTTGTTAATATGGTGCTCACTTTAGAGCACTTCGCTAATACAGCGCTTCTCAATTATATTCATGTTTATTATTTTTGGTGCTTACCTTGCTCTTAACCCTTTGTCGCACAAGGGGTCCGAAAATTTGAAATTCGAACTGAACTCCCTATGGTGGATAGAGTAACTCAATACAAGGTCACTGATCCCATATAAATTGATTTCTGATGGTTAGTTTTCGAGCAATTGCTAATCTCCGAAGACCGAAAATATTCGGCTGCGCCCGACAAAGGGATTAAAAAATTTTATGTTGCAAACTTGCAATTGTTAATAAAACACACCAAAACAATTTTTTAAATTTAATATACAAACATACAATATAAAAAACATAAATGGAACTTGTATCAAAACATTTTTTAATTGTTACAAAAATATAAAAAGGAAGCAAATATCAACAATGCCAAATTGCAAAGTGATGCAAGTTTCAATCCCTATATTCCTGAGATTCATTTGGAAGACCAATGATTCTATATTGCTAAATGGAAAGATGGAAGTCTGAGAAACAATTTCTATCAGTCTTTATGCACAGATTTACTTTGCATACACTACACACGAATGACGATGTTACCGGTTTCTTCGTGTTGCTGCAATACTTGCAAGTAAACGGCCTTTGCCCTGCCATTGGGAAGTGCTTTAGACTAAGGTCTTTCCTAACACTGTCATCAGGCATTTCTGTACGTTTTCCCCTCCCAGGTTTCACTATGCCAACACAATTGGAAGTACATGGTGAATTAGTTGGTGAAGGTCTTGGAGTTGTTCTTAGGATGCTGCCTCTAAGGTTTTGTCCTTTAGACCTTGCAATTTCAGAGATACAATTCCTGAAATACTTCAGTTGCATACACTTTTGCTTTAGTGCTCGAGAATCACGGCAATAAAGCAGCCATGCATTCACAACAGCAAGATCAAGAATATAGGCAAATAGCCGCATGTACCAACGTTTTGATTTCATTGGCGTTTTGTAGAGATGCACCAACATGTTGCTTTTGTCAATACCTCCCATGTTTGCATTATAGTTCTCGATGACTGCAGGGCACAATATTTGGTCTTTCCTCTTTGTAACCTTGTTATATCTGTCAACAAGACTCAGAGGCTCGACCCCAATATCAGTTGTCACTAAAGTCACAACTTTGGTGTCCTTCCATCTTACAACAAGGACACCATCATTGTTGTTGAAGCAAAAATTGCCCCTGACCACAGTGTTCCTTTCCATTTGTTTGATAGGCGCCAGATCTGGCTTACCACATCTATTGTCACGTACTGTTCCAGTGTATCTGCAGTTATACTTATCTCTTAGTAGCTTGACCAAAGGTATACTTGAAAAGAAATTGTCAGCATAGATTGCTGATGTGTTGGTCTTGTTCATAGTTTGTGCAAGTACCAGAACAATCTTTGTACTTATTGGAAGTTTAGATTCTTCCTGTGGAAGCTGTATGGGATGTGTGTCAAAAGTTGGTGTGCCTTGATACATGAGTATATCATGTATGAGTCCATCTTGACTTGCACGACAAAAAAGTTTGAAACCCCACTTATCTGGTTTTGTTTTGATGTACTGCCTTAGGTTTCCATCAGTTTTACCCTTGAAACCAACCATGACTTCATCGATAGATTGCTTGGGTGTAGCTGGAATTTTCAAGCAAGCATTAGTTAGTTCAGTGTAAAGAGGCCTTACTTTGTAGAATCTGTCATTATCCTTTTTTGTGTTGTCATTGAAATGAATATGACTTCTAAGGAACCTAAACCTCTTAGACGCCATGGTATCTACAACCTGTGGGATCCTAAAAGCAGCTTTCCAATAGTCTTCGAGGGATGGTAGTGGAGCAATACCCATGAACAACAAAATACCTATGAACCTCAAGATCTCTTCAGAATCTGTTGAAAAAGTACTATTTACGTCTTTTTGCCTTGCATACAAATTTGTTTGATATGCTATGTTATCTATCATGGCTGCAGTAACGAACATACGAAAATACTCATATGGAGACCTAATTGCAAGAGGCTTTTCATGTTCATATGCCGGCAAAGGATCATTTTGAATGTCATCTACGGTCCACTCAGATGAAACTTGAAGAGCAATATTCTCATGGATCTCTTCCTCATCCGGGTATTCCTCAATCCTAAAAGTTCTCTTTTTCCTCATTACTTTCTGCTTTTTGGCTGGCCTTTCTTCCCTTTCTTCCTCCTCATCATCACTTGACATCTCTGCATCCTGTGCATCCGGTGGCAAGTATTCATCACCACTATCCAGCAATTCTGGTTCGTCTACCTCTGGTTCCGAGTCACTGTCTTCAGAAACGCAGACATACCTCGACCTGCTGGTCGACTGCTCCCCATAAAACAGCCTCTCATGGAACTGGAAGGACAATAGAAACCTCCTGTATAAATCCAGACCACTACAGAGTTCATATATGCAATTGAAAATTTCTTATAAATATTTATTTGACTAAAATTGGACATTCCCGGAAACTCGCGCAAGACCGAAATTCGGTCTAAAATGCTTGCACTTTTTTCAACTGCATGCTACACTCATATTATGCTTCACACGGACTTTAGGTATATATCAAAATATGCCTAAACTATTCATGTAAGCACTAAACACAACAATCAGTACTTACCGACATTGTAGAATGTATAATCCAAGAGTAGATTAGTAAGGGTGGAGGGAAAAATGCGTGTGTGGGCGAAGCCAAGCCACCAGTGTTTATATTTTGATCTCTCAACCAATGGGAAGGCGGCAGAAGCGAACTGTACTTAGCTGAAGAGACTCAGGGAAGGCTTGTGATTGGTTGGAACTAAAGAACGGGAAGGAAATAAATGGTATAAAATACCGACACAGTGGAAATATAAACACAAATGCAGTATAATGTGATCCTTTATTGACAACGTTTCACCCACACAGTGGGCTTTTTCAAGTCACACAAAGAACGGGAAGCTGGCCGCGCGGGGCACGGAGTATGACACGCGCCAAAAACACGTAATTAAGACCGAATTTTTTCGGCCTCGCAATTTTCAATTTTTTTATTTGTTATTTTTTACTTTTGCATTGCTTTTTAGACCTAGTGCTACTATGCACTTAAATGATAGGTAAACCTGTTTTGGTTTTTATATCCACTAGTGAGTGAAAATAAGGCTGTGATTTTCTTTAAAGTGACATTCACTTTACGGCAGCAGTCTGGAACCTAACCCACCATATTAGTGAGGTATTCCTGTATCAAGCTGTTTTCAATGACCAATAAACATATCTTAATACTACTCGACTGTTTCCTTTGAGGGAAACAGTTGAGTGAGGGGCTCTTGATCCAAGGAAGTAAACCTATCCTTCTCTTAGATTGAACCTGATTGCTTCCCATTCCCAATGCATTGTACAGCTTCTATAAGTTTAGCACTTCCCCCCTGATAATAATAATAATGGACTTATTCTCCTTTGCACTGAACCTGAATACTTCCTATTCCCTAGGCACTATATATGACCCCTATGGGTTCAGAAATTCCCTTGTTAAAATAAACAGATAAGTAACATGCTTTTTTCTTGTTCTACTGAAGAAAGATGAAGCTTGAATATGTTGAAATTATTGTGTTTTTATAGCAAGGTTTGCAGCTCTGTATGATTCTTGTGGGATTAATGCTTAGTTAGGATTGTATTAATTATAACAGAGCAAGGATCATTGTCCTCTTCTGCTGTCTCCACTTGCTGCTCTCCAGGAAGGTTCCTTGATGCTGGTGAGAGGCTCCTGATTTAAGGATTTGTATTTGTCCTCCCTTTCCTTTGACTGAACCTGATTGCCTCACATTCCCCAGGTGCTGCATGATTCCTATGGGTTGAACACTTCCCCTAAATATAATAATAACAATAATGACCCACATTATTATACCTTTGATGAGTTCCAAGTTTCTCTACTCCCGGAACCTGGCCAGGCTTGTCTATCTCATGGAGAGGCATCCTGTTCCACTTTGTGAGATTTGTCTATTTCCTGTCTCAGTTTCCTGTTCTATTGGACTATCCTGTCAATCAATAAGCACGCAGAATTTTCCTCCGACGTCACCACTCTAACACCCTTACTTTATTTTCCCTCCTTGATGATGGATCCACCTTTGACAGTCTCCCTCTTTGACTTTTTAACAGCAACTGATTTATTAGACAAACTTTGATAATCTTTCCTTAGCACTCCTCACAGCCCCTCCTAACTTTACCCTTACTGTCATCTCCATCCTTATTTATCCTTAGATCCTGCATCAGTTCCTACCCTGCAGTGCTGTATGACCCTGATAGGTTTAGTGCTTCTTTTTTATTATAATAATAATGGTGCTTGCCTGGTCAGCCAGTTTGTTGCTGCTGGTGGCTAGCTGACCCACAAAAGAAAATAAATGCCAACAGAATTTGGTGTTCCCAGGCAGTTACCCATTCAAGTATGTACTAACCTAATCCAACGTTGCTTAACTTTGTTGATTGAATGAGAAGTGGGAAACAATACACGTTTGTTCTCTCTAGGCTGGAATATTGCTGTACACTAATGGCCTCTTTTAAGGCAGGCGAAATTGCAGACCTTGAGAATGTACAGAGAACTTTCAAGGCACGTATAAGTATGATAAAGTCCCTAAACTGCTGGGGAGGTCCCTTTGATTTGTACTTCCTGGAATGCAGGTGAGAAAGATACATGGTAATATACACCTGGAAAATCCTAGGACTAGTCCCAGATCTGCACACAAAAATCACTCCCTATAAAAGCAACAGACTTGGCAAGGAATGCAACATCCCCCCAATGAAAAGTAGGTGTGCCACAAATACACTAAGAGACAACACAGTAAGTGTCAGGGGCCCAAGAGTGTTCAACTGCCTTCCAGCATACATAAAGGGGATTACCAATAGACCTCTGGCTGTCTTCAAGAAGGAACTGAACTGGCCCCTAAAGTCAGTACATGATCAGCCAGGCTGTGGTTTGTATGTTGGTTTGTGTGTGGCCAGCAGTAACAGCCTGGTTGATTAGGCCCTGCCCCACCACAGGGCTTTGTCACAGACTGGGCTGTGGGGACATTGACCCCCAAAATCCCCGCCAGGTATGATGGTAGGTGGTGGTAGTGATGGTGGTAGTGGTGGTAGTAATGGTGCTATGTGGTGGTAGGTGGTGGTTGTGATGGTGGTAGAGGGTGGTGGTAGTATAGTGATGGTGGCAGAGGGTGGTAGTGATGGTGGTAGTAATGATGGTAGAGGGTGGTAGTGATGGTGGTAGTGGTGGTGGCAGAGGGTGGTAGTGATGGTGGTAGTAATGGTGGTAGAGGGTGGTAGTGATGGTAGAAGTGTAAGTGATGGTGGTAGAGGGTGGTAGTGGTAGTGATGGTGGTAGAGGGTAGTAGTGGTGGTAGTAGTGGTAGAGGGTGGTAGTGATGGTGGTAGGGGTAGTGGTAGTAGTGGTGTAGTGGTAGAAGGTGGTAGTGATGGTGGTAGGGGTAGTATTGGTGGTGGTGGTGGTGACAGTGGTAGTGGTAGCAGTGGTGGAAGTGATGGTGGTAGGGGTAGTAGTGGTGGTGGTAATGATGGTGGTAGGGGTAGTTGTGGTGGTGGTAGTGATGGTGGTAGGGGTAGTCGTGGTGGAAGTGATGGTGGTAGGGGTAGTAGTGGTGGTGGTAGTGATGGTGGTAGGGGTAGCAGTGGTGGCAGTGATGGTGGTAGGGGTAGTAGTGGTGGTAGTGATGGTGGTAGGGGTAGTAGTGGTGGTAGTGATGGTGGTAGGGGTAGTAGTGGTGGTAGTGATGGTGGTAGGGGTAGTAGTGGTGGTAGGATGGTGGTAGGGGTGTAGTGTGTAGGGGTGGTAGGGGTAGTAGTGGTAGGGGTAGTGTGAGGTAGGGGTAGTAGTGGTGGACGTGATGGTGGTGGGGGTAGTAGTGGTGGTAGGGGTAGTTGTGATGGTGGTAGGGGTAGTAGTAGTTGTAGTGATGGTGGTAGGGGTAGTAGTGGTGGTAGTGATGGTGGTAGGGGTGGTAGTGATGGTGGTAGGGGTGGTAGTGATGGTGGTAGGGGTAGTAGTGGTGTAGTGATGGTGGTAGGGGTAGTAGTGATGGTGGTAGGGTAGTAGTGATGGTGGTAGGGGTAGTAGTGGTGGACGTGATGGTGGTAGGGGGTAGTAGTGGATGGTGGTAGGGGTAGTAGTGGTGGTAGTGATGGTGGTAGGGGTGGTAGTGATGGTGGTAGGGGTAGTAGTGATGGTAGGGGGTAGTAGTGGTATGGAGTGGGGGTGGTAGTGGTGGTAGTGATGGTGGTAGGGGTGGTAGTGATGGTGGTAGGGGTGGTAGTGATGGTGGTAGGGGTAGTAGTGGTGGTAGTGATGGTGGTAGGGGTGGTAGTGATGGTGGTAGGGGTAGTAGTGGTGGAGTGATGGTGGTAGGGGGTAGTAGTGATGGTGGTAGGGGTAGTAGTGGTGGTAGTGATGGTGGTAGGGGTAGTAGTGATGGTGGTAGGGTAGTAGTGGGTAGGTGGGGTAGTAGTGATGGTGGTGGGTAGTAGTGGTGGTAGTGATGGTGGTAGGGGTAGTGTGGTGAGGGTGAGTGGTAGGGGTAGTAGTAGTGGTAGGGGGTAGTAGTAGTGGTAGGGGGTAGTAGTGGTGGTAGACCCATGATGGCCGCTAAACACCGCAGGTCTGCTGAAGAAGAGAGAAGCAGCAGGAATAAGAAACATGGAGGTGGTCAGCGGGAGGTCACCAGCAGCAGGTCACCCAGGGAGGAGGAAGTCAGGTCACCATCACCTGTAGTGGTCATAGTGTGTGGTAGGTCAACTACTCTAAATAACCATCGACACTTGAACAACTCCCTCTTCAACTGTTGCATTATCACTGGTTAATTTATGCGCAAGTTACTGTATATAGTAAACACTTGTAAATAATTTACCTTCGTGTATTAAATCTGTATAACTTTGGTTAACCTGTGTAATGGAGGTCACAAGGACCCCAATGAAAATAAGTCACTGATTTTTTGGGTTATCCTGGGTAATTTACACTGCTGGGTAATTTGCACAATATATGCTGGATAATTTACATTGTGTATGATAATTGTATTTAAATGCACCTGTGCCTAAATATACTTACACGAGGTAGTAATGACCTCACTGGAAATAGTGACTTTTTTGGGTTATCCTGGTGGGTAATTTAAACTATGTATGATAATTTTACTTACATGCACCTGTGACTAAATAAACTTACTTCATACACAAGTTGGTAATGACCAGCATCTTTCCTCCATCTCGTCCACTCTTATCTCCCAAGTCTTCAGGGAAGGGATGCTCTTGAACGGCTCTTGATTCAGGGAATTAGAGCCAGCTTGAATGAGAGCTTGGGTTAACCCTCACTGGGAATAAGTCACTTTGACTTTTTTTGGGGGGGAGGGATATTCCAGATAATTTACACATATTAATTAAACTATGCATGATATTTGTACTTATTTATACCTGTACCTAATTAACTTTAACTAACTTACTTTTAAAGTAATAATTAAACTGGGTATACCATTAGATATAAGACTCATTGTCCATACAGAGAAACACCCATGTATATACCAATAACTACTGGGTCGCTATTATCCTGGTTCACTTGGCATGTACAGTTATGTCACTGGTTTACCTCCAGTAGTCGCAATGGAAGGTATACTGTGGCAATCAGAGATGTTTAATATTATATTGTTGTTAATGTATACTGTATTTAAATCTATTTTTAGTGTAATGATATCCTATGTTAAGTCATGAAAAGACGTTGCAAATATTTGTTTAGGTCTCATACATAATTTAAATATTTTACAGTGGTTTATGGAATAAAACCGTTGTAATAAATTATATTAGATTATGTAGAATTTAACCTAGACTTTCCAGATAAAGTCAGATAATATGACTTATTTCCATTAGGGTCCTCTTTGTATTATTAGTACCAGCCATTTTCTAAAATGTACTCAATATCTCCTTATTTAAGATATTAAACTAACTAACACCACCATATTAAAACTAGTGCCCTGATGCTCGCACTTTTATGGTTATAATCATGATTGATATCTACTGCTAGGTTTTAAATAGTATTACAAGAAACTCAATGAAGTTACTTTGTCTCACATTCTTGGATAATCCTAGGTAATTTACACGTTACTGTGTATGATAATTGTACATATGTGGACCTGTATTTAAATAAACTTACTGTTGCAGCAATATTATTGAAATGTTAGATCCACTTTCTCTATAAGAAGCCACTCTGAAATACAGAGTACAGTACAGTGGACCCCCGCATAACGGACGCCTTGCATAGCGGACAATCCGCATAGCGGACGCTTTGTTCGCTAAAATTTTGCCCCGCATAGTGGACAAAAACCCGCTCAGCGGCCTTCGTCCGAGACGCGTCCAATGTGCGCCCTCAGCCAGCCTCACATGTGCCGCCTGTGCCATTGTTTACCAGCCAGCCTCCGCGGTAACATTCAAGCATACAATCGGAATATTTCGTATTATTACAGTGTTTTCGGTGCTGTTTCTGGAAAATAAGTGACCATGGGCCCCAAGAAAGCTTCTAGTTCCAACCCTACAGCAATAAGGGTTAGAATTCCTATAGAAATGAAGAAAGAGATCATTGATAAGTATGAAAGTGGAGTGCGTATCACCGACCTGGTCAGGTTGTACAAGAAACCCAAATCAACCATCTCTTCTATTGTGGGCAAGAAAACGGCAATCAAGGAAGCTGTTCTTGCCAAAGGTTTAACTGTGTTTTCGAAACAAAGATCGCAAGTGATGGAAGATGTTGAGAGACTCTTATTGGTGTGGATAAATGAAAAACAGCTAGCAGGAGATAGCGTCTCTCAAGCGATCATATGTGAAAAGGCTAGGAAGTTGCATGAGGATTTAATTAAAAAAGTGCCTGCAACTAGTGCTGATGTGAGTGAATTTAAGGCCAGCAAAGGTTGGTTTGAGAGATTTAAGAAGCGTAGTGGCATACATAGTGTGATGAGGCATGGTGAGGCTGCCAGTTCGGACCACAAAGCGGCTGAAAAATATGTGCATGAATTCAAGGAGTACATAGAGACTGATGGACTGAAACCTGAACAAGTGTTTAATTGTGATGAAACAGGCCTGTTTTGGAAGAAAATGCCAAGCAGGACCTACATTACTCAGGAGGAAAAGGCACTCCCACGACATAAGCCTATGAAAGACAGGCTTACTTTGTTGATGTGTTCCAATGCTACTGGTGATTGCAAAGTTAAGCCTTTATTAGTGTATCACTCTGAAACTCCTAGAGCGTTCAGGCAAAAGAATGTCCTCAAGGAGAATTTGTGTGTGCTGTGGAGGGCAAACAGTAAGGCATGGGTCACTAGGGACTTTTTCTATGACTGGTTACACCATGCATTTGCCCCCAATGTGAAAGATTACCTAACTGAAAAGAAATTAGAACTTAAGTGCCTCCTGGTGTTAGACAATGCCTCTGGTCATCCTACAGACGTGGCAGAGCGACTTTATGGGGACATGAGCTTCATTAAGGTGAAGTTTTTGCCTCCTAATACCACTCCTCTCCTGCAGCCCATGGACCAGCAGGTCATTTCCAACTTCAAGAAACTGTACACAAAAGCTCTGTTTCAAAAGTGCTTTGAAGTGACCACAGACACTCGATTGACTCTAAAAGAGTTTTGGAAGGATCACTTTAATATCCTCAATTGTGTAAACCTTATAGGTAAGGCTTGGGAGGGAGTGACTAAGAGAACCTTGAACTCTGCTTGGAAGAAACTGTGGCCAGAATGTGTAGACAAAAGGGATTTTGAAGGGTTTGAGGCTAACCCTGAGAGGAGTATACCAGTTGAGGAATCAATTGTGGCATTGGGGAAGTCCTTGGGGTTGGAGGTTAGTGGGGATGATGTGGAAGAGTTGGTGGAGGAGGACAATGAAGAACTAACCACTGATGAGCTGATAGATCAACTTCAAGAGCAAGAGGCCAGACCTGAGAAAACTGGTTCAGAGGAGGGGAGAGAGAAATTGAAGGAATTGCCTACTTCAAAGATTAAGGAAATGTGTGCAAAATGGCTTGAAGTGCAAACCTTTTTTGATGAAAATCACCCTCACACAGCTATTGCAAGCCGTGCTGGTGACTGTTACAATGACAATGTTGTGAACCACTTTAGACAAATCATAAAGGAACGAGAGGTACAGGCCACTATGGACAGATATGTTGTGCGAAAGAAGTCCAGTGACTCTGAAGCTGGTCCTAGTGGCATTAAAAGAAGAAGGGAAGTAACCCAGAAAAGGACTTGCCTCCTCAAGTCTTAATGGAAGGGGATTCCCCTTCTAAACACTAACACTCTCTCTCCCCTCCTCCCATCCCATCAATCATCACCAGATCTTCAATAAAAGTAAGTGTCATGTAATTGTGCATGCCTTTTTCAGTTTGTGTGTACTAAAATTAACATTTTTTTGTGGTAAAAAAAATTTTTTTTCATACTTTTGGGTGTCTTGCACGGATTAATTTTATTTCCATTATTTCTTATGGGGAAAATTCATTCACATAGCGAACATTTCGCATAACAGCCAGCCCTCTTGCACGGATTAAGGTCGCTATGCGGGGGTCCACTGTATAGTGTTATGAGTAACTGCACTGTGAAGGATGGGTGGAAATATGTTGCAGTTTTTTAATTGTAGTATTGTCACACCTCTGGCAAGACAGTGATGGAGCGAGTGATGATGAAAGCGTTTCTTCTTTTTCGGGTCACCCTGCCTCGGTGGGAAACGGCCGATTTGTTATTAAAAAAAAAAATCTATAAACTGTTATTTATTTATTTATTTAATTTATTATCAATTTCGAGCTCACTTAACAGAGGTACAAAAAAAAATACAGATAAGAGCAGCATGCCAAAGCCACTTATACTATGCATAGCATTACGGGCTGGCTTAAAATTAACTTAAGATTAACTATGCAATGATGATCAGTGAAAAACTTAATGTAAAAATGATTACTATAAAGCACAAGTGGAGTATTACAAAGGGACAAGGTATATGGTTGCAAGCATTGTTATAAATTTCAGTTGAATGGAGAATTCTGTTAGGTAGTGTATTTAAAAAATAATAAAGTTAGATTGGGTTTTAGGGTTTTTAACATTTATGTGATATAATTGTTCTGAGAAAACATTTAAGATATCAATTTATAAGGTTCAGTTATTCAGTATTTATTTGGTTTTGGGTGAGTAGTGATCTTTGAGAAGTGACTTGAATTTATAAACAGGTAGTGTTTCTTTTATATGTACAGGTAATGAATTCCAGATTTTACTAGGGCCATTTATGGTGCATTGAGTTTTGATAGCGTGAGATGGGACTTGAGGAATATCAAAGAGTGGATCTGTGCCTTGTGTTATGGTCATGTGTTCTGTTGAGGTTGGCAAGGAGATGTTTGAGGGGAGGGTTAATATCAGAGTTGGTGTTCTATGATGTATTAGGTGAGTAAAAAGTATGGTTTTTGTATGGGGGAGAGGTTGAGTGTATTGAAATTGGTGGAGTGTGTGCCTGTAGTGAGAATTTTTTTATCATTCTAACTGCAGTTTTTGTTGGGGTAATTTGTTTTTCTGAGTGGTTACTTGTTTTTGGGCCCCCATGCAAAATTTCCCATGGGGAAAATAGGGGTAAATAAGAGGTGTTGGGGCCCAAGGGTGACTGTGGAGCATAGTACCGTATTTTCGTTAGTATGCCACAGTTTTGGAAATTTTTTAAAAATTTTGTTTTTTATGTTATGAAATTTGAGTCATTATCAAGGTGGATTCCTAAGTTTTTTCCCTTGTTAGCTTTGTGTAGGTGACCCGTTTATCATTATGTTAAGGGGGAAATCTGTAGTCTGTTCCCAAATGAAGAAGTGGGTTTTTGTCAATGTTTGTGAAAGTTTTAGTACTCACAGGTAGATTTTTTCGAAATTCGGTTTTTACAGTATTGGCTAGCGTGACGGGCTGGGTGGAGAAGCGATTTGTGTCCAGCAAATAGGTGGGTTTGATAATTGAAAAGCATTTGGTAGGTCATTTATGTTAAGAAAAGAAAAGGGGCCAAGGATTTTGTTCGGATTTTTAACCCCGGGGGGGGGAGCCACCCAGGATAAACCCCAAAAAAGATGCCACGGGACTGTCTAACTTATTTCCATTGGGTCCCCTTAAAACTTGTCCCCCAGGGTGCGACCCCCACCCCTCGACTACACCCGGCCATTTGCTGCTAGGGGCAGGACAACAGGGGTAAGGAAAGTGGAAAAAGTTTCCCCCCGCCGGGAATCGACCCCGGGCCCCTCCGTGGTGTGAAGCGGGAGCTTTAGCTTTTAAGACCAAGAGGCTGCTTCAGAAAATATTAACCTTCTGTTCAGACAAAACGACAAGAATATTAAGTCCAAATATTTATAAAATAGCCATTCCAGTAATTATGCATAGCCTTCCTTTGAATCACTATTTTGAACATCTTGTTTGTCCCTTTAAAGGGGCAGGGCATCTTGATGCTGGTGAAGGTCTCTTGATCCAAGGAATTGAAGCTGCTCTTTCTTGTCATTGTACTGAATACCCCCATTTCCTCAAGCAGTTTCTCAGTGAGAATATAATAAATTTAACCTGCTTTCCCATATTTTTTGCATAAAAAAACTTATCAGGTAGAATTTAAGTACCAAGGCTCATTTCCAGGCTAGCCTCACTGCAATATCCTTTACAATAATTAGACACATGAACCAAACCCCGGGCCGGGATGAACCCAGCGGTCAGAGAGTCTCTGACACGCGGGATCAATCCCGGCCGGGTATGGTTTGTTTGCAAAATCGTGTCATTACGATTTCTTGAGTCCATTTAGACACAGAGCCACACTATAAAACATTTGGTAATAGTTAATTTCACTTTATAAAATTAAAAAAATGAATTTAAATAAGATGTGTTTTTAAATAAACATGTTTTTTTTAAATAATTAGTCTTTCAGAATAAATGCAAGCAATACTGTTGATGGTTCTGGGATACATGTACAATATTATTCACTTCACATCTGCATTGTCATTAATTATAATTATAAACTTACTGAACAGATCACTGATTAATACATGCATCTTTTATTCCAGCAATTCTTTGGGGTCGTTCACAGTGTCCCATTAGCCACCAGTTTGAGTAATGATAGACACTTCCTCACACCTCTCTAACCTGGAACGAGCAATGACCTCAGAACAGAAATGGTAAATTATATTTTTGAATGTTAAAATGCAATGATCAATTTGGTTTTCCAAGAATTCCCAATTAATGTTTCAGATACAGTGGAATTACCTCTCACCACACTTGTATGTCTCAAATATACTGTGTTGATTTTAGTTACCAAGCTTAGTATTCCTCCCACCAAAAACATATGCATCATAAAACAACTAATACTATAGGCAATAAATTACATGAAAGATTTATTTTTCTGTATGGTACATTTTTAAAGTATATAAACACAGTAATCATAAATAATTTTAACAAGTTACCATTCCTGTTAACATTCAATAGAAAGTTCACCTAGTATACCCCTCAGAGTCACTGTTTTAAACCAAACACAGGGTCAGAGTTTTGCTTTACCTATTATTCACCATGTAGAGCAGGATTCTTTAATAGTGTGCACACTCACTGCAGACCTATCCTCTCATATCTTGTCTAAAATTTACCACTCTCAGCTTATCTGAGTGAGCTGAGCTCAAGATGCAAATCCATGTGAGGGACCCCAGGCATTAGTATTATAGATCTCTTTGAATGGGACAGTGTAAGTAAGTAAGTAAGTTTTATCAGTAATACCAAATAACAGTTAACATAGAAAATTATCATACATAGCAGCATGTGTGTAGAGAACCTAGGATAACCCAAAAAAGTCAGACAGAGTGACTTATTTCCATTGGGGTCCTTTTACCTTATTATTATAATATAAAGGTTATAATATTTTCTTATTATTCTACAATGAAGATAACAACTTATTATCATACTAAAAAGACTATATACTACACCAATGGTCATTAAGACTATCTACCAATACGAGGGTCATTACTAAGGAATAAGGTAAACAATTTACACGTATGTTAGCTAAAAAAATAGAAAATCATCCCCTCCCTTTCGTAGCTACATTCACAGACACCTTTTGGCACTCTTCTTGAACTGGTTCATGATATGAACTGGCTTTGACATGTGCGGGCAGTCTGTCCATTCCTTTATTAGCGTACAATAAAAAGGTGGTTGAAGCCTGGCACTGACCTGTGGGTACTACAAATTTTTGTGCTCTCTCACCTCCCTAGAACATTAATTGCTTTGGTTCCCAACCTTGACAAAATTGACACAAGATATTCTGGACATTGTTTTGTGAGCAATAAATTAAAGCATGGATTTTAGCTTCAGTTTTTTAACTCTGTCTTCAACTTCAGCATAGGTCCAACTGCTGTACTTCATCCTGGGCCTACATGTTGCTCTTGTCCAGCCCCAGGAATGAATCTTAAACGATTTTGTTCTGGTGATTTGCAGTCTATCTTCAGTTTTTTTGTTCAAGGCAGAGTAACCAAAGAAGAGCAAGCGTAATCCTATGGCATTGTATAAGGGCTAGACATAGGGTCCTGCGAGCCTCAGTAGTAGACTCTTTGCATGTCCGTATACCGGAACATTCCGTCTGGCATTCGCTTTTCTTTACTAAGCACTGTTCCCTATCCATTCTCCTCTGACAATTCATGGTCAAAGGGGAATCTCCAAGTATTTTACTGATGAAACCAAAGTCGGTGTGGCTCCCCCATTACATTGAAACATAAAAAAAATTATTAATTACCCTTCTCAGTTTATGTTTTCGTGCCAAAGAGAATGGCTTCAGTTTTCCCTAGTGTAATGATAGTTTTGTTGTCTACTAACCATTTTCCTGCAGGACTTTCCAGATCCAGTGTTAAAACATTAGCAATATCTTGTGGGTCTTTACCAGATACACTAACAGAGCACTGACATCTGCATACAGTAGAGTTTGCACTTGACACTGATAGGCAAATCCATTGACATAACAAAATAATAAGGGACCCAGATATACTACCTTGGGGAACTCCACAGGTTATCGGTAGGGGTTCCTGATAACTGTTTTTGTTGATATGACTATTTGTCCTCCCTCCTGTTGCTAAGGTAGACATAAACCATTCTTACAAACCTATACCGATAGCTTAAGTTATATTACATAAATATATTGGGTTGACAGTATTGAAGGCCTTTTGGCAGGTCTAAGGTTTACCATACCTATGAGGTTTTCCTCCCCTTTGACATTTCAGTTCTCAGGTAATCCATCAGATTAATAAGGGAGGAGTGTCTGTTTGAGTAGGATCTTCTAAAGCCAAGCCCCGATTGAGTAGCTATGGAGACTGTTGTTGTCATTAAGGTACATACTACTTAAGAATTACAATGCCCTCTTCAGAAATTTAGATATTATTACTGAGTATACTAACAGTCCTATAGTTGCTACATCAAACCTACTATATTTCTTGAAGATAGGAGTAACTCTGGCCTCCTTGAACTCCCTCCGGAACGGTATTAGTTGGTGATTGAATAGATTTATTAATTTGAGCAATAGGGATTGACAGTTCAGAAGCACCATCTTTTAGGAACTTTAACGGTGTAACAGGGCCTGTGCTCTTAGTTGGGTTAACCTGCTTAGGTTCTTTTTGAATAAAGTCCGATTAGATACACTTACAAGTTGACAAACGTTTGGGGGTTACCCCTTTATTGGTATAGTATGTTTGAAACTTATCAGAGTCTGTGTTAAAGGTATTTGAAGCAGCTGTAGTTTAATTACTAGTGTTGATGCAACCAGATGTGAAGTATGATTAAAGCAATTGCCACCTTAGATGTTTCGTGGCATACCTCATTATCGATAGTGAGTACTGATGTTAGACCTATCTACTGGCTTATGGCTATACCCCAACTGTTTTAGTTTTTGCCAGAGCTTTCTGGGGTTAATGCCGAAAACACTTCAATTTTTGAGCATAGTGGCTTTGCCTTTGCACCTTTTATAAGTCTCTGTACTCTTGTTCTTCACCCTTTTCGAATTTCATTTAAGTGCTGCAATATCCTGTCTGTTTGCTTTAAATCTTTTAGCAGCTGGTCCACTGAATTTCATATTATCTAATATCTACAGTATTCATCCAGGTTCAGTTCTTCGTTCACATCCTAACCTCCCTTTTTAACCGGTGGCAATATTAACAAGGAGGGTAAGATCATTGTTTTTGAATATTCCCAGGCATCGTTTACGTCCGTGCAACCTTATCTCTGTCCATCACACTTGTGTAGCCTATTTACCAGTGTTTTTTCTTTACTGTAGTTTCTAGATGACCGCTCATTGTTTATTGTCCTGTGTAAGCCATCCTATCCCAAGTGATTTTCCTGGTGCAGTAAATGATGAAATGCTCACTAAGACCTGTGGTAATGAACACCTAGACTGACTAATGTTCTCAGAGCAGGGTTACAAAGTAGTGTCACTTAGGGTGGCTGAGAACTGTGGTGATCCGGGTTGGAGTATTAATTATTGAGTGTAACATTTTATCCTAGAATTTGCTTAACCTTTTGCATAGCCCGTTATTTGCTGCTGAAAACCGATATTGAAGTCACCCAGTATTATTGTCTCGCAATTGGTATTCAACTCCGGACAAGACTCTGGAAAAGTCTTCTAAGAACTGGTCCTGGTGTGAGGGCGGTCACTAGTTTCTACTAAGATGGTTTGGTCTTAGGAAGCAGCACTTCAAACCATAGACTCTCCAGTTTATTGTTATTTAAATCAGGTCTTGGGTGTAAGCTAAAGTCATTTCTAAATGTAGGACATACTCTCACACTCACCCTTTCTGTTCCATCTCTATAGCGTTTTATATTGTAACCTTCTATTTTGCCCTTTACGTTAGTCACCGTATCATCCAACCAAGATTCAGAGATGGTTTTAACTGCTGCCCTAATTTTTGTTTTAGCTAGAATCCTAATCTCTGCCAATTTAGGAAGAAGTGATCTTGCATGACATGAATAAAGTGTAGGCCATTTTCAATAAAACAATCATAAACATCGATATATGTAATGGGTCTTTTGGTATTAAAATAGAGGTAAATCAACGTCATCGACTGCTAAAGGGTAACTTGCCAAAGTGGATTGTTACATCACAAAATGAATTCTGGCACCGTATGCTATAAATTGTACATACATCCATCATGCACCCACCCCTTACACATTTTACATAAGGTGCCTTTTCTGTTTTTCATGCATACTTTAGTACAGTGTATGCACCTGTTTGGTAGTGTTTGAGATAATAATGGCTGTATTGTCTCACATTGACCTATGTATGCATTACATATGGAGTTAAGGTTATCATCCCTAGCTACTAGACCGTCATTATCGCCGTCATTTATCTGTCTGTTTTGCCTCTGCACAATAGTTTGAGGTCCTGGATTAATTTGGATATCACCACTTAAGAGCGCTACAATAAGAGCTGTGTGCCACTGTTGTTGTTTGGGTAGGATGGCAACTGTTGGGCTTTTACTGTCCAGGGCGCTGTTACTCCATTCACCTTTTCCAACCCCCATGACTGATTTCTTTCTTCATGGAATTGAAGAAGAAATATAAATATAATTATGGCAGCCTGTACCCCCCTAATGCCTGCCATTTTCACTCTTCGCTCTTTTACTCATATACACTAAATGTATTTGGGAATGCACTAAATTAAGGCAGGAAAACATGCTCAGCTGTTAATTCATATAAAACAAACAATTTTATTTCTCTACTGTACAGTATACAATTATGTTAACTGATATGCATAAACTACTTTATAGAAAGCACCTTGTTATACAAAGCATTTCTGGCAGCCTTAAAACTAACATATAATTGCTAGACAGTGGGAGACATATAGTACATCACAGTGAGAATACTTAGTTTATACTATATTGACGGTGTTCAGTAATTTATTAAAAAATCTAATTAAAGATACATTAGGGATGAAGCCAGGTATCTGAATCGATTCAAGGAAAAAATACCTTTCTAGCAATAAGTGGGATTTTTAAAGGGAAAGGGGTTGGAAACAAGAATGGGGACAATTTTGGGATGAAGACGGGTTTTTCAAGATTTCTGTGGGCTAATAAATTGCTATCAGGACACTTAAAGGATTTAAAAGTGGTTAGCAGTCGGTTTTGGGGTCTTCGGGGAAAAAAGCTTTCAGATTTTTGGGGCCTTTTAACACTTGAGTTTTTACACGGGTTTGATCAACAGAGCAATATCATAAGAATTTGTGTCGGGTTATCCTATTATACAGCTACAAAAGATTTCAGGAGGATTTATATTAAATTTGTTGTCCTTATGTGATTCAATGACTTTTTACCCCTTGACTGCCCCCCCAATCCTGGGGTGTCCCCCTGGTGTGCAAAATTTAAAAAAAAAAAAAAATTTTTCTTATGAAATGATAGAGAATTTTTTCCCGATTTAATGACACCAAAAAAAACGAAATTTAAGGGAAAATGACGGAATTTTTGCTCTCGCGAAGTTAGCGACCTCGGCGTATTTACAAATCGGCGATTTCGCCCCTTTGAGCCCTTTTTTTCGGCTAATTCCGTTTTCCCACCGACCAAACTATAGCTTTTTTCTTTAAAACCCTTTCATTTTTTTATCGATTGAGTACAAAAACTGCCCTTTTAAAAATTTCAACTACCCAAAATGTGGCGAAATTTGCTTTTTGGCCAGTTTCCAGAAAATTAAAAATATGACAATTTCCCAAAAAAGGTCCAAATGAAAATACAGACATTTTTGGGTCTAAAATAACATTTTCTTTTTTTCATCAGTCATGTCCCAGGCCCCTCGATATTACTCTTGCTTTCTATTTGAATTTTTTTTTCAAACAAAAAATAAAAACTTACTATTTTGCAGACAAATGCAATACTGTAATAAAGTATAAATACATCAAAACCCCTTCATGTTCCCCTATTAGAATGGCTGTTGGCTTTATTGGACAAAGACATCATTTTTTACTTTTGAACATTGGCAAAAAACAAATATTTCCCCTACTTTGAGCTCCTTTTTCCCGGTTCTTTTTATAGTAAAATCAATCAAAATCACCTTATTTCTATAATATGTTTTCCTTTCTATCAGATGAGACCAAGAAAACGAGAATACAACCATAAATACTATACGAAAATAGACCACAAAGTCGGCATTTTAATTAAAAAAAAACGGTCGGAGTTTTTTTTTTCTCATTATGCACTGCGTGTTCCAGGATTTTTTTTATATGGTGCACACTGACCACACAGACCCATTCTCTCACATGTGGGCCTATCAGCTTTCTCCTGCTTGATTTGAAGCCGCTAGAATTTATGAGTATATATACATCAAACACGGTACCTCGTAAGACGTATATATACGGCCACGACAGTTAAAGGGTTAAAGAACAAAAATGCACAATACTGTGACTGGAACAATACACAAATAACCTGCACATAGGAGAGAGAAGGAGCTTACAATGATGTTTCAGTCCAACTTGGACCATGTATGGGGTTATTTGAGTGATTTTTATGTATATTAAGTAAAATTTTGAGGAGTGGGGGAGTGTTCTGTCGGGCACTAGCCTGGGTAATCATTCTAAAACCAAGGCAACAGTGCATTAGTGTTTGCAATAAAGCTAACAGAATTCTTGGCTTGATATCTAGAAGTATAAATAATAGAAGTCCTCAGGTTGTTCTACAACTCTATAGTATATCCTTGGTTAGGCCTCATTTAGACTATGCTGCTCAGTTCTGGTCACCATATTACAGAATGGATATAAATGCTCTGGAAAACGTACAGAGGAGGATGACAAAGATGATTCCATGTATTAGAAATCTTCTCTATGAGGATAGACTGAGGGCCCTGAATCTGCACTCTCTCGAAAGGCGTAGAATTAGGGGAGAGATGATCGAGGTGTATAAATGGAAAACAGGAATAAATAAAGGGGATGTAAATAGTGTGCTGAAAATTTCCAGCCAAGACAGGACATGCAGCAATGGTTTCAAGTTGGAAAAATTCAGATTCAGGAAGGATATAGTAAAGCACTGGTTTGGAAATAGAGTTGTGGATGAGTGGAACAAACTCCTGAGTACAGTTATTCAGGCTAAAACGTTGTGTAGTTTTAAAAATAGGTTAGATAAATACATGAGTGGGTGTGGGTGGGTGTGAGTTGGACCTCACTAGCTTGTGCTGCTGGGTCTGGTGTCGTACTCCTTCGTTGAGTGGAGGTGACCAGACTGGGTGGGTCATTGGGCTAATCCGGGGTGGGTGGGTCATTGGGTTAATCTGGGGGGGGGGGGACATGGACCTGCTCCGCATGGGTCAGTAGGCCTGTTGCAGTACTCCTTCTTTCTTATGTTCTTATTTATTTTTTTTTATTATCACACTGGCCGATTCCCACCAAGGCAGGGTGGCCTGAAAAAGAAAAACTTTCACCATCATTCACTCCATCACTATCTTGCCAGAAGGGTGCTTTACACTACAGTTTTTAAACTGCAACATTAACACCCCTCCTTCAGAGTGCAGGCACTGTACTCCCCATCTCCAGGACTCAAGTCCGGCCTGCCGGTTTCCCTGAACCCCTTCATAAATGTTACTTTGCTCACACTCCAACAGCACGTCAAGTATTAAAAACCATTTGTCTCCATTCACTCCTATCAAACACGCTCACGCATGCCTGCTGGAAGTCCAAGCCCCTCGCACACAAAACCTCCTTTACCCCCTCCCTCCAACCTTTCCTAGGCCGACCCTACCCCGCCTTCCTTCCACTAAAAGACTGATACCCCTCTTGAAGTCACTCTGTTTCGCTCCATTCTCTCTACATGTCCGAATCACCTCAACAACCCTTCCTCAGCCCTCTGGACAACAGTTTTGGTAATCCCGCACCTCCTCCTAACTTCCAAACTACGAATTCTCTGCATTATATTCACACCACACATTGCCCTCAGACATGACATCTCCACTGCCTCCAGCCTTCTCCTCGCTGCAACATTCATCGCCCATGCTTCACACCCCTATAAGAGCGTTGGTAAAACTATACTCTCAACATTCCCCTCTTTGCCTCCAAGGACAAAGTTCTTTGTCTCCACAGACTCCTAAGTGCACCACTCACCCTTTTTCCCCCTCATCAATTCTATGATTCACCCATCTTTCACAGACCCATCCGCTGACACGTCCACTCCCAAGTTTCTGAATACATTTACCTCCTCCATACCCCTCCCCTCAATCTGAATCCAATCTTTCATCACCTAATTCTTTTTTGTTATCCTCAAAAACCTTATCTTTCCTGTATTCACTTTTAAATTTTCTTCTTTGCACACCCTACCAAATTCATCCACCAATCTCTGCAACTTCTCTTCAGAATCTTATGTTCTTATTTGTAAATATTAAAATTCGTAATTTTAATTAATGTGCTGATATTTATTCAAATGATATATTTTCAGTGTATTATTATCTTCCATAGGGTCTGTATTACTCCTATTACAAGACATTGGTTAATGCTGATTCCTTCTTAGTGGGATTAAATCGTCTAATGCATGATAACTTGACCGAATATCCAGAGACCATAAATACTCTGCAGAGGTTTAATCTTTACCCAGAGGTTAGTATGTTCTTTTTTGTATTATGTTTGTTATTTTGCAGCAGGATTAAGAGAATGTGCATACTTATAAATGAATTATTGAGTAATAGAACATTTATTAAACAGAAAAAAATAATCTTTGGGTGATGAGGGGCATCACCCAAAAATTGACAATGTTGTTCAGTCTGCCTGTTAAGCATAGTGCTGTAAATAGCACAAACCATTAAAAAATAAATTTTAGGCATGCAAAAAAAAAAAAAAGTTTAAAACGAACCTATCTATCAGTGCCTTAAAATGCTAAGTGTAAAAGGAATTATTTTTGTTACTGAACCTTTCCACTTAAGTGAATGTAATGTTTTCCACATGTTTATTCAAAATATATTTGCTGACCAAGTGGCTTACCCACTTGTCTGGAGTTTTATGACTCCCTTGCCATGGGTTCAACCACCACCCATTCCATGGTTGGATTGCAATTGTGTTATTACGATTTTGTGAGTCATTTTTTTTAATTTACTTTGAATGGACAAAATTTTGCATTCAAAAAAGAATTTACATTTATACCCAGGTTTACTCCAGTACTATAGTTATCCTCTTTTCTTTTTTCAGCTTGTTCTTGGTGGTACATACAGAATTTTTAATGCAGTGACATCATGGTTGGGTTTAGAGATGCGTGTGTGTTGGCAGGTCAGCAGAGGAGGAGGACTTGCCCCTGTTATCAGTTGTGAGGGTCTTGGTGACCCTGCTTACTGGTATTTAGCAGGAGTTTGGGCAAGTGCTGGTCTCACAGCAGCATTCCTCTTTATTCAAGGTACTGAGCTTAGTGGTGACCTTCTTGGAGGCTTTCTCACCATTATTTGTTTCTTCTTTAACCATGGGGAAGCTACACGTATACAGTGGACCCCGCCTTTGAGAGAGAGCTTTGCTTTTCCATGGAGTATCGCTCTAAATATTGCTGTAACTCACATTATACGTGCTCCACGGCCAGTTTGGTCCCGCCCTATCCTGCTTGGCTCCCTGACCTTGGCATACCTCCTGTGCTGGCAATTTGCTCAGTTCACCTTAGTGGCTGTGGTTGGAATAGTATATGCTATGTATACAATAGGTATTATTAACCCTTTGCCAATGTTGTTGATACTTCTAGGGATATCTTATGGTTTTCTGAATAATGTGGTGCTGCAGTTTGGAAATACATTGCTGGTTACATCACCTTTAGCTGGGTGTCTGCTGGGAGTCTTGCTGTTGTATCTCTTTATGGAGCCCATCATTCAGCATTTGCCATTCCCTACCAACATGGGTGTCCAGTTAGCATTCCTCTTTGTTTCCTGCACAGCCTGTAAGCTCGAGTTAGCACGAATATTTGGTATTGAAGATGACGCTCATATAGTTAACATACTTAAGGCCAAATTTACTAATTACTCGGATTTCCACACTCTTCTCTATACGTGTTCCCCCGAGTTTGACTTCCTTCCCCAAGAATCATTGTACAAAATGAATGAAACACTTTTGATTCCGTGTGTTTTTCTGGTTGGAGGAGCTGTATTAGTAAATACCCTTACCAAAATTAAAAATAACATGATACAAAGATTAGATGAAGAAAGTGAGGCGGTAAAAACTTCCTTATGGTCTAGTGTTGACCCTGGGGTCATGTTTAATGGTGCTATGTTAGCTGTGTATGCTCTGATGGCTGGTCTCATAATGCGCTTGAAACTTTTTCTGACCCCTCAGTTGTGTGTTGTTACTTCATTGCTTGCTTGTAAGAAGTACTGGAAAATAATAGAAAGAAAGGAAATCCATCTTGCAATTTTAGCAGTGCTGGTGAGTGGAATGTGTGTGAGAGGAATCAAAAATATAAATGAACAGAGATCCATAGTTGGTGAATACAGCAACCCAGAACTGGAAGAACTGATTGAATGGGTTCAGTCTGAAACGCATGAAGATGCTGTGTTTGCTGGCCCTATGTCAACTATGGCCAATCTTCTTCTCTCCACACAGAGACCTATAGTTAATCATCCTCATTATGAACATGCAGGTCTTAGAGAAAGGACTAAGAAAGTGTATAGTATTTTTAGTCGAAGATCTGCAGAAAGTGTGTATGAAACCCTTCTCTCTATGAAAGTGAACTATGTGGTGCTAGAAGAGTCGTGGTGTATTCGCAAAAGTCGACCAGGGTGTGGCATGGTTGATGTTTGGGATGTTGAGGAGCCACAAAATAGACACAAGCCATCACTTTGTCCACGATTGTTCCACAGAAGTCCAGCCCCGTTTCATCGAGTTTTTGCCAATGATATTTTTGTGGTGCTTCAAGTTCCTTCACGCTATGTAGAAATTCCTCCACCTAGATATCACAGTGCGTAAGAGAAATATCAAAAATAGATTAAGACATGATTCATTGCACATTGTCATTTTCATTGTATCAGTTGTAAATACCGAAATGTGAAAAAGTATTATGAGGGGCAAAAGTTTTTTAGATAAGGTCCCTGTTGTAAAGGAAGGTGTTTTTGTAAGTTAGATTTTTACAACAGTCAAGGCCAATTAAAAGTGCAACTTCATTACACTTATTGTAAATTTTGTAAGTACTGTCTGGTACTCTAATTGTATTCTGGGCCATTCAAAATCTTTCAAGTTTTTACTTTGGTATAAATTTTTTTTTTAACACATAGGCTGTTTCCCAGCGAAACAAAAGGTGACCTGAAAAGGAAGGAAACACTTTCATAAAGTTTTTCTTCTTATTTTTAGTAATTTATACAGAAGGGATTATTTGGTATAAATAGTTGCAATAAATATGAAATACAGTGCTGTACCTGTAGTAGAATATTTCATTACAAGTTGTTTTCATTAAAATTTGAAAATAATATTTTGTGTACAATTTACAAACCATTTATTACAATGTCTTTAATTACATATACCAAATGGTTTTAAAATTAATTGGATACATATAGCATGCCTGTGTTGTTATTAATTGGGCATTACTTTCAGTGCAGCTTTTGTGATTATTACATTTTTTTATTTGTTCCAGTAGTCTCAATTTTATATCCTCTGGCTGGCTAAACAGATATTTGACTTTGTCATATAATGGATAAGAGAAGGTTTTATTCCTGTTTATATACTGACTTCTTTGATATTAAAAAAGGACTTTGTTAGTTTCTTCTTTTATTAATCATTGCCTTTGTTCTTTCTGATGCTGTGATATAAGCTGAATTTAATCATATTGACTGAAAGTTTCTGTAAGTGCTGCAATAATCCATACAACCTAAATAGCATGGATTACTCAGCACCTACTTAGTTAAATTTGTGCAAAACAACTTAAATCTTCATTGAACAAAACTTCTCAGGTGTGCTTTACTAAGTACCTACTTGGGACTTAATAAACAATGCCCAATGAGGGAGTGTCTTGTTGAGTCTCATGTATATTTATCATCAGTTTGTCTTTCCATTGTACATAAAAGTTGATGAGGTAATAAAATATTAAAAATTTTTCATTTGATACAGATCATTATAGTTTCCCTCTTGGTACACAATGTATATTAATAAGCTATAGTTTAAATGGGTTTGGGGATCTACAAAGGACGAAGCAGAATAGTGTAATGAAGATAATGTATAACGCTAGGGTACAGTTGTCCTCGAAAGGGCTAGAGGAAAGGGGTAAGGGAAGTTTTGAGTGTTAGGGTCTAGCTAGAGCAGCCAGCAAGCTGGTGTGAGAGTGTTAGATTGGAGAGAGTGGAGACTAAGTGGTTTATATTTCTTCCTTTCGAGTGTGAGCAAGGTAACATTGTGAAGGTATTCAGGGATACCAGTTAGCCAAACTCAAGGCCTGGAGGTAGGAAGTACAGTGCTAGCACTCTGAAGGAGGGGTGGAGGTAGGAAGTATAGTGCCAACAATGAAGGAAGGGGGAGGTACATAAGAAAGGAGGATCACTGCAGCAGGCCTGTTGGTCCATACTAGGCAGGTCCTTTACAATCCATCCCACTAACAAAACATTTGCCCAACCCAATTTTCAATGCTATCCAAGAAATAAGCTCTGAAAACTATCCAAGAAATAAGCCTTCCTTCAGTGCCAGCACTGAAGGAAGGGTAGAGGTAGGAAGTACAGTGCCAACAATGAAGGAAGGGTGGAGGTAGGAAGTACAGTGTTAGCACTCTGAAGGAGGGGTAGAGGTAGGAAGTACAGTGCTAGCACTGAAGGAAGGGTAGAGGTAGGAAGTACAGGGCCAGCACTGAAGGAAAGGTAGAGGTAGGAAGTACAGTGCCAGCACTGAAGGAAGGGTAGAGGTAGGAAGTACAGTGCCAACAATGAAGGAGGGGTGGAGGTAGGAAGTACAGTGCTGGCACTGAAGGAAGGGTGAGGATATTTCAGTTTAGAGTGCCATTTGAATTGTGATGACTGCAGACTTCTGGCAAAAAAGTTATTAAATAAATGAGTGAATGAAATTTTCATTTTGGAGGTGACTGGTGTATTAAATAGAATTTTCAGTGTGTTGGCAAATTTTATTACTATTGTGTTTCTCTTTTGACCACATTTGTATTATGTGAATGTGTTCGTTGTTTTTTTTTGTATGTACTCTTATCAGAATAACTTTAGAATGTTTTTATTAATACTGACCATCTCCCACCAAGGTAGGATGATTCTTAAAGGAAACACATTTACCATCATTCATTCAACAGCTATCTTGCCATTGAGTCTAGCTGGCTAACTTTAGAAGTGTAAATTATGTAGGTTCAGGGATGGAGAAGGGGTGTGAACAGATATAGATGAAAAAGATGATACAAATGATATATTTAGTTGGAAGCTGGTCCAGCCATATTAGAATAACTTGTAGGCCTACACTGTACTGATGATGGATGAAGGCTTCTCCAGCACTTTTTCTCAGTATCTTGATGTTAATTTCTTTTATTGCATCATTCTTTTTTTTATTTTTTAGCACATTGGAAGTCATCCCTCCAAGACAAGGTGATCTAATTACAAAAGCACATTCACCACACTTATTTTTTAGTTGTCATTGCCAAAGTGCTCATACATTAGTTCAAATTATCCTCTGAACTGTGATATCCCTACCCATCCTTCAGAGTGCATTCATTGTATTTCTTACCTCCAGAATTAAAGTACAGCTAACCAGTTTCCCTGAATCCCTTCATAGGTGTTACCTCTCCCTCTAGGGAGGTTCTTAATTCAAGGAATTGGGGTTTCCTCTCTTCCTTGGATGGAATTGGATTGCTTCCTATACCCCAAGTGTCATATAACTTCTTCACCTAAATACAATAAGTGTTCTCTTGCTCACACTCTGACAGCATAAAAGTAAGAAAAAGTCTTTACATATGTCTTCTGGATGCTGAAGTCCCTAACACATAAAACTTCCTTTATACCCTCCTCTTAATTAATCCTTTTCTGGGTTAGTCCCCTATTCCATACCTGTATGACACCTGTCATATTACCTCCCTATCCACCCTAAACTCATAATTACAACAAACAGTGCCTTAACCCTATCCTGGTATTGCTTACTTATCAGCTGTAATGCAAGAACTTGTCTTATTCCTGTGTTTTTATTATTATATTACCACATACTTTTTTTTCTGGTATACTCAACAGACTCATTCTTCAATCATTCTCACATCTACCTCCTTTGCATTGACAAAGGATCTATGCATGCTGTATGCCATTCCTTAGGTTCCTTTCCTGTTTAATGCATATAGTATTTGACTATTTTATTTTAATATATTTTGCTTTAAATTTAACGAATTAAATGATTTTCCTTGGCACTCCAGTCATGATCTTGTGCTTTGAGTTGGTCACCAGTTTACAAATGAGTTGCTTCCCTATTTTTCTTTTATTTATAAACAAGTTGTGTTTTCAGAAAACAGTTGTACAAAGTTATACAGCTTGGCAGCTGTAAGACTTTGGTTTCTAGGTTCCTTGTTTGTTAGTGCAGATGTGTGTATCTTCAGACAGAGGTGAGTTGGAGACTTATTGTACTCTATTAAGAAGCTATTAGAGCTAAAGGACAAAAATTTAAGAAATGGAAGTATAAAAGTCAAAAAAAGAAAAAGTTTGGTTCAGAAAAATTTAGTGATCAAGCTTTTAATAAACATTTACAGTTGAACAAATGGGTTAAAGGTGTTAGTGTCAGACCCAACTAACAGCTGTCTTAGGCATGAGTAATAAGAGTACTCGCCTAGTTGTACTCACCTAGTTGAGGTTGTAGGGGTCGAGTCCAAGCTCCTGGCCCCACCTCTTCACTGGTCACTACCAGTCTATGAGAGGTGAATCAACGTGTTTGATGTAACAGGTTTATTTCAATTTTTTTTAACTGTCTACCATCTCCTGCCAAAGCAAGATTACTGAAAGCAGAAAACACATTTATTGTCATTCATTCAATGGCAGTTTTTCCAGAAGTGTGCTGACATCACAGTCAGATTACCCTCCGACTGCAATGTCTTCACACCTTCAGAGTGCAGGCACTGCCCTTCACACCTCCAGGACTCAGGTGCAGCTTTTGTATGTTGGATTTGGAGGAAACCAATTAACTGGTTTAAATTATTGTTACACTCCACTTTTGATCTTATAAAGTTTGTGAAGTTTAGTAAATCTTATGTTTGAGGCATGCTGTAGAAATGAACTAATTATCCATTTGTGCTCGAGCGATGTGGGCCACCTTCTGTGCTCTCTGAATCACCTGAGGGCACCGAGTTTTGCGCATGAAACGGCAGTCTTGGAAGAAACCTTCATTGCGAGGGAACCCGTTGGATCCGTCTGCGTATGTCACTAGTCCTGTGAATATAAAGTCATTTAGAGGATGTTGAAAGTTACTTTAACTATATTTTTATGTTAACTTAATCTGATGTTGTCCACCTAGGCAGGAGTGAACAAAAAAAATTGTTCAACATGACACACCCATTCAACATGACTGGACCCCTGCAACCACATACAGGACGGCCCCTCTTTACACTGCTTTGGTAATGCAGCGATTTCCAGTTATGCCCATTCATTTATTCAGACTTCCTACAATAAATATATTCACCACTCACTATAAGCTAAGGATGAAAGTATTTTAAGGTACATAATGTGTATACTGTATATGCATTTTTAGGCCTAGCTCAATCGCTAGAGCACTCAGCTCACACACTGAGGTCCGGAGTTCGAATCTCTAGTATGGCTGGAAAACATTAGGATATGTTTCCATAAGACACCTGCTGTCTATGTTCACCCATCAGTATAAAATGGGTACCTGCTTGTTAGTAGACTAGTGTGGGCCACATCCTGGGATAAAATTGACCTAATTTGCCTGAAATGCTCTGCATAACAAGTGGCTTTCCATAGAGTAGTATGTCAATGATGTCAGCTAGGCCTGTATACCTTGTACATGTACTTGTAGAAATCAAGATATTATTATTATTATTATTATTATGATAATACATATAGTGTAAACACGTTATCAGGCTTTTATATGCATTTGAAAATGAAAAAAAGTAGCCTGGAACCTAACATGCTGTATAAGTGAGGCTCTCCAGTATTTACATAGGGCAGCAGGGATAATGGAGGAGGTAAATAATTCACTGCAGTAACAAATATTGCTAAGGTGAACTGTTTTGAAATTTTGGTAGTACTAAGAATCATCCTGTCAGGTATAGGCCTCTAAAGCACTTCATTCAATGGGGTGCCTCGATGCTGGCGAATGCTCTTGATCCAATTATTTGCAGCTACCCCTCCCCTTGAATCAAACCTAATTACCTACATTATCCAGGTACTATGATCCCTATGGGTTTAATGCCCACATGAATATAACAGTAATGCTCAACATTAACTCACATGGAGGCAGAAACTCAGGAGATTGATTGATCCGTATATTTTGACCCCCTTCTGGGATCCTTCCGCTGAATAGGATCCCAGAAGGGGGTCGAAATATACAGATCAATCTCCCAAGTTTGTGTCCCCATGTAAGTTATTACTGAGCACTGACAAATGTTCATTACACTTTAGTTATTCATAACAGTAATAGTAAGCTTAAGCAGTTCAGTTTGCAAGGTACAGTACTGTAATGTACATCCTTTACTACTACATAAACAGTTGTGGGTTTTTACCATGTCCCCAGATGCGGCCACCTCGGAACTCTCCCTCGAATCTCATGTTGTCATTCCTCCAGAATATTCCATGGCCATGGAACCAACCCTGCATGAACTCTCCCTCATATCTGTGGAATACCAGAACTACTGTACAGGTCGGCCATCACTAATCCGGTATCATGTGGGACCTGTAGTGTGCCGGATTAGTGAGTTTGCCGGATTACAGAGTGGTTAGAGTAGAATACACTTAATTAACCTATCAATAAAGACTATTTCTGCTACATCTTATTCATTTTCATCACTGCTTTCTCCACCACTGGCTTGCTGCTGTGGATTTACAACCATCTGCACAATTTCTGAGTTCGTATAATGATGAAATTTGAGTCAGTATAATGATCTGAGTTAGTATTATGATGAAATTTGAAATTATGCTAACCAAAATTAGAGCCGGATTACTGATGGAACCAGATGACTAACTGCCGGATAAGTGATGGCCAACCTGTAGTTGTATTAATATTAAATTTTATAGTTTCAAGAAAAAATAAATTTAATGAATGTCACATGTCTGATATGAAAGGCATTAAAAATACAGTATATATATATACATGTCGGTTATCTCAGTTCTAAGTCATTACCACCACATATTACCACCACAAGCATTATCCATTACTACTTTCACCAGTGTAGCATCATTATTCATCATCATCATCCATTATCACCACCACTCATTACAACCATTTGCCCATTCTTACCACCACTTCCCATTCCTAACAAGAAGTAGAAAAGACTCTTGAAACTCATCATCATCAAAGGTATAACATACCACCACAGTGCATTACCACAGCCACCCATTCTTACCACCATCTATTACTAGCACCACCACCTGTTACTACTGCAGCTTAGTATTACTGCCAATATCACCCACTGTTACCACACCTACCATTCTTTACCACCATTATCAGTAATTTGCAACTATTACCTGGCACCATCAGGGAAGTGGATAACCCCAAGGCCATTGAAGAGGCCATTTTCAAAGGCTCCATCATAACGCGTACCATCAGGAAGGACGAGGTGGCCCATGCCATGCTTCTGGCCTTTCTTGTTCCAGTCTCCGATATATTGGGTGCCATCATCATACTTGTGGCTCCCATACTTGACCACACCAGCATGTGCACCTGTCATATAATGCAAAATTACTACACAATAACATTTAAATATTGAATCAGTTGCAAACCTTCCTTTAAGGAAAAATACATATCTGCTCTAAAAGTTTGAAGCTGATCAGGAGATTCATTATCCAGTTATCGAGCAAAAGACAATTTCAAGATTATTAATGATATTAATAAACTGGCAAATTTTCACCTACATAGCCCAAATTTTAAGGGTACCATCATTCTCATAAAATGGATCAGCCAGTTTAAAAATAAATTTGGCAAAATGGTACAAACAAACTTCAATAACACTCAATCTTCCAATTAGAATACATCAATGATGACAGTTTGAAGCTGATCAGAAAAAGCATTCTAAAGTCATTGCTTAGAAACCACAAATGGAAATTTTTTTTTAAAAGGGATTAGAGGGGTATCCCCCCCAACATGAACCTGTTCCAGGTTACGAAACATTCTTAAGATATATAAATGAAAACCTTGGACAAAGCAAGAAAAAAGTCAAGAACTGCTTAAAGGTACCCCTTTGGAGATACCAAAGACAAAAAAAAGTATGACCAAGATGCTGAGGCAACGAAAGTGGTCAGTCAACTTACTTCAGACAAAACACCTGACAATGCCTGCCAACAGTTACACTTAAAAATTAGGGAAGGGGGAAAAAGGGGAACATATGCACTACACATTAAGGGGAAGGGGGGATGTAGTGAAGCTGAAGGTTACTTTATATAGGAAATTGGAGTTACCCTTCCCTTCCTTGGATCAAATCTGATTACTTTCATTTCTCCAGGCACTGTATGGTCCTTACGAGTTTAGTTCTTCCTCATAATTATAATTACAGTATAAGACTTACGGTTAGCCATGATGTTAGTGGTAGTGTGGGAGGCAGCACTGCCGTGGCTCTGTGCACTAATAATGTGTGAGACAGGTGAAGTGTGTTTGTATGGCTTCCTCCCTCACAGTACCACTACACACTACCACCACCTTTGCTGTATAGCCCTTGTGGTTTTAGCGCTTCTTGTTTATTATAATAATAATAATAATACCACCATCTGTTTAAGGGCAATGTGTGGTGTAAATATTATGCAGAAAATTCGGAGTGTGGAAATTAGGAAAAGGTGTGGAGTTAATAAAAGTATTAGTCAGAGGGCAGAAGAGGGGTTGTTGAGGTGGTTTGGTCATTTAGAGAGAATGGATCAAAGTAGAATGACATGGAAAGCATATAAATCTATAGGGGAAGGAAGGCGGGGTAGGGGTCGTCCTCGAAAGGGTTGGAGAGAGGGGGTAAAGGAGGTTTTGTGGGCAAGGGGCTTGGACTTCCAGCAAGTGTGCGTGAGCGTGTTAGATAGGAGTGAATGGAGACGAATGATACTTGGGACCTGACGATCTGTTGGAGTGTGAGCAGGGTAATATTTAGTGAAGGGATTCAGGGAAACCGGTTATTTTCATATAGTCGGACTTGAGTCCTGGAAATGGGAAGTACAATGCCTGCACTTTAAAGGAGGGGTTTGGGATATTGGCAGTTTGGAGGGATATGTTGTGTATCTTTATATGTGTATGCTTCTAAACTGTTGTAATCTGAGCACCTCTGCAAAAACAGTGAAAATGTGTGAGTGTGGTGAAAGTGTTGAATGATGATGAAAGTATTTTATTTTTGGGGATTTTCTTTCTTTTTTGGGTCACCCTGCCTCGGTGGGAGACGGCCGACTTGTTGAAAAAAAAAAAAAAAAAAAAACACCATCTTTCAAGGGCAAGGATGCATTGAAGGTGAAGGGCTCTTGATTCAAGGTAATGGAGTTAACTTCCAAGAAAAAGGTTACCTGCCATTCCCCATGACTATGTTTTCATGAATGCATGCATACTTGCATATATCTATGGATATATGCATGCATGCAACAATAGCAAATGAGCAATCAAGTCTGCACAGCAACTATAAGGGAACTAGGAATGATGTTGATCTAGGCCTTTCACATTACAATTGTAAATGCTTCTTCAGGAGCAATGCATTAAAGGGAATGGAAGGTGAAAATTTAGAACAGCTTCAACAGATGTGTTCTGGAACACACTTCAGTCAGAAAAGGATGAGGAATGCAGATAGTGGGCATCAGTCTGTGCCAGATGTCAAAGAATGTATTTTATGTAAGGATGAAAATGACAGCCAAGCCCATAAACGTTTGCAAGGACGTTTAAGTAATAATACGATAGCAAGTCAATTGTGGTGGATGAGTCTCAATAGTTGCACATGAACAATGGAAAATTCCCCAAACATAACGGTAGTTGCAGAAAGTTTTCTAAGGCATGGCAAGACTGTCTATTTTTCTTTTAGTTTAAATGTGAACACATATGGTGGACCTTTGATGATCAGTGACCTGCTATATGTGTTAAATAAGTTTGGTTATTACTACTTTTGCAAGATGTATAGGCTTGGTTATCATTTTCATTATTAAAATACATTCCCTGAAATCTCCATTGGAAAGTGGAACAGAATTCTTCCTCTGTAAGCTATGCATGTCGTAAGAGGCAACTAAAATGCCCGGAGCAAGGGGCTAGTAACCCCTTCTCAAGTATACATTACTAAAGTTAAAAAGAGAAGCTTTTGTTTTTCTTTTTAGGTCACCCTGCCTCGGTGGAATATGGCCGGTTTGATGAAAAAGAAAAAAAATCCTTGAAATCTGGCACATGAGGCTGTGCCAGACTAGCACCTGTGACTTGACTCACGAAATCATAATGACACGATTGCAAACAAACCATACCCCGGCTGGGATTGAACCCGCAGTCAGAGAGTCTCAAAACTCCAGACCGTCGCGTTAGCCACTGGACCAGCTAGCCACAATAAGATTCGTCCAACTAGGTATATTTCTATACCATAGGAAGGTTAGCACAGGCACCACTGTGACCACAAATGCAAGTTTTTACAGACGAATCTCCAGCTAGCGTGGCCGTGACGAACTCTAGCTCAAGTCCCTTCACTGCCGTCAACATGAGTTTGCAATCGTGTCATTACGATTTCGTGAGTCATGTTGACGGCAGTGAAGGGACTTGAACTAGAGTTCGTCACGGCCACGCTAGCTGGAGATTCGTCTGTAAAAACTTGCATTTGTGGTCACAATAGAGCGAAACACCAACGTCAAAGACCTGGGATTGATTATGTCGGAGGATCTCACCTTCAAGGACCATAACATTGTATCAATCGCATCTGCTAGAAAAATGACAGGATGGATAATGAGAACCTTCAAAACTAGGGAGGCCAAGCCCATGATGACACTCTTCAGGTCACTTGTTCTATCTAGGCTGGAATATTGCTGCACTCTAACAGCACCTTTCAAGGCAGGTGAAATTGCCGACCTAGAAAATGTACAGAGAACTTTCACGGCGCGCATAACGGAGATAAAACACCCCAATTACTGGGAGCGCTTGAGGTTTCTAAACCCCGTATTCCCTGGAACGCAGGAGGAGAGGGTACATGATTAATACACCTGGAAAATCCTAGAGGGACTAGTACCGAACTTGCACACGAAAATCCTCACTACGAAAGCAAAAGACTTGGCAGACGATGCACCCTCCCCCAATGAAAAGCAGGGGTGTCACTAGCAGTTAAGAGACCATACAATAAGTGTCAGGGGCCGAAAACTGTTCAACTGCCTCCCAGCACACATAAGGGGGATTACCAACAGACCCCTGGCAGTCTTCAAGCTGGCACTGGACAAGCACCTAAAGTCAGTTCCTGATCAGCCGGGCTGTGGCTCGTACGTTGGTTTGCGTGCAGCCAGCAGCAACAGCCTGGTTGATCAGGCGCTGATCCACCAGGAGGCCTGGTCACAGACCGGGCCGCGGGGGCATTGACCCCCGAAACTCTCTCCAGGTAAACTCCAGGTAAACAGTGGTGCCTGTGCTAGCCTTCCTATGGTGTAGAAATATACCTAGTTGGATGAATCTTATTGTGGCTAGCTGGTCTAGTGGCTAACGCGACGGGCTGGAGTTTTGAGACTCTCTGACCGCGGGTTCAATCCCGGCCGGGGTATGGTTTGACCTGTGACTTCCTTCCTCATCCCTTCCTAGTTGGACTGGTAATGAACACACATGCTTAGGATCTACTAAATTCTTACATTCTATTCCCATAATTGCAATGTTCCTTAGAACAAGTTTGCAATTGCAATGTGAAAGGTCTAAAGCAACATCATTTCCTCCTCCTTATGATTGCTGTATATGTAATATATATATATATATATATATTATATATATTTATATATATATTATATATATATATATATTTTATTTATATATATTTATTTATATATTTTATTTAAAATATATATATATTATATATATATATATATATATATATATATTAATATATATTATATATATATATATATATATATGCAAAACAACCACTGTGAAAGAATAGAGAAGTTCCAAGCGCTTTCGTGACTACTCACATTATCAAGGAACAATGTTCCTTGATAATGTGGAGTAGTCACGAAAGCGCTTGGAACTTCTCTATTCTTTCACAGTGGTTGTTTTGCGTATTCTGAAATCACCTGTTTACTGCGATCTTATTGCATATAAATATATATATATATATATATATATATATATATATATATATATATATATATATATATATATATATATATATATATATAATTTTTTAAATTATATTTATTTTTATATGATAATCTGAGCCACCTGGTGGTGGGTGAGGCAGGTACAGAGGAGCAACAGGTAGGAGCACCAGCTGAGTGAGACACCTGTGCTCACCTGTCATACACTAATTCTGCGTTTTTCACCATAATTAAGGTAAGTTGTCGATACTAACTGCCTGGTACACAATGTGAAGGTTTATATCATAATGAATTTGCAAAAATATATGAGTAAAACTTAAAGGAATTTATGATATATGACGATATATTGTCTCGAGTGAAGTGGCTCTTGAATGGGTGAATTGATTTCTGTCCTCCCGTTCCTTGGATCGAACATTATTGCTTCCCATTGCCCATACGCTGTATAACCCATACAAGTTTGGATTATTATTATTATAATCAAGGGGGAAGCGCTAAACCCGGAGGATTATACAGCGCCTGGGGGGGATGTGGAAGGCATTCAGGCTTAATTCGGGGAACTGGAGCACAGATCCAGTTCCCTAGATCAAGAGCCCCTCACCAGCATCAAGGAACCTTCCTTGAGGGGTATACAAGTTCGGAGCTTCCCTATAATACTGCTATTTAAAACACTTGGTCATCAACCCTCATTCCTAGTTTTTAAACCAGGTTCCATTTAACTGTTTTTTCTTAAGTTTCAATAAAGGTACACAACTACAGTAAGATACTTTATTTCAGCATAATACAATGTTTGTACAAAGGTAAATAACATGTAGGTGTACATGTAGAAAAACCCTTAATATGGAGAGCATTTTGAGAAAACTTAAAACTAACTGAAGATCAAAAAAACAATGACAATGTGAGTGATTTTATACATCCAGTCCCTTAGGTGAGTCAATGTCAATTTAGAAGTTATATTTAATACAAGATAATTTAATATTCTCTTAGTGCAAGCTGTATGACTTTTATCAAGTTTAATTGTTTAAAGATTACAGGTTTGATTATGATTATAGGTGATAACGATTTTATCATTAATATAAATGACACTTAATGGTTGGAAGGATTACAGATATTAAGATGATTATGTTGTTTTATATATGTTTGTCATGTTGAGAATATGCATATGTAGTTTTCGCATATATTATTATGTTAGGCATATATCATTATCAATATGTTATCATTATGTTAGGTACTAACAAAAAAATGATAATGAACTGTTGACATGTTTGTATCTGGTTACAGTCGTAATGAGTTATTTGTTGTGGTTGGGGTGGTGGAGTGGGTGGGAGGTGATGGATGCTGTGTTGGGGTGGTGGAGTGGGTGGGAGGGATGGATGCTGTGTTGGGGTGGTGGA